AATTTCTTTGATTATAATTTCTTCGCTCGTGCTAAAACTACAAAAAAAAACTCTAAAAGGTAAGTTTCATACATACTTTTACCCCCATATAGGATGAATTTCGAAAAATGTTAAAACACGTATTTATTTAATTGTATTAAAAAGCATTAATACCAAGTTTCGAGTAATTCTGATCATAAATATTTTTCTGGTTGTATTATAACGTGTTTTCCCGTGGGAATGAGATAATCTCCCGCGGTAAAAAGTAGCCTATGTCACTCCCCAGCCTTCCAACTATCTGTACACAAATAAAACACGCAAATCCGTTTCTATGTTTTGACAGGAAAGAAGGACAAACAAACACACATTCGCATGTAAACTATAGATTTTTGAAAGTATACTTTTAGATGAACTTCAAAAAAGAGATTTTTGATTTGGTTTTTTGTGTCTCACGAGATATTTTCGTAAATTGCGAATTATTTTTTGGGTTTTTTAATTAATGTTTTTTTCTTAAGACATGAGATATTATATATACGTTTCAAGGAAAAAAATCGTTTAAAACACAAAAAAAACTTTCAAATTAAATACGTCTTCCTATTTGAAATCGGTCCAAAATTAAAGATATTTACCCTCAATTCGCGAAACCGACTCGCACTTGGTCTATATTAATTCGACAATGAAAATTACACATACAAATTAGTGTGTTTGTCATCGTGTTCCGGAAACGCGTATAAATGAAGCACGCTTAATATGTTTTAATGTAGGTGTTGCCAAGGACGAATTTGTTTGCAAACTAGTGTGGATGAACAAAATGGGTGCAAAGTCCAATTTTCCAATACATAAAGTCCATTCACGTATACGCTACGTAGAATCTATAAAATTGGATTGCGAGAGAAGTGAAATCGTTCTGCGCGCCTTACAAGCGCCAACATAAAGTAAATGTTAAATTTACTTTATGTTGGCATTTATATTAATTTTTTTTAACCCCCGACGCATAAACGACGGGGTGTCATAAGTTAGTTTGACGTGTTTGTGTGTGTCTGTGGCATCGTAGCTCCCGAACGGATGAACCGATTTTGATTTTGTTTTTTTTAGTCGGGAGTGTTCTTAGCTATGTTTGATGAAAATAGGTACAAGGTGGTTGGCTTTTTTTTAATTTTTATTTATTTTATTTAAATACTACAAACATTTTATCATCTCATCACAAAAGTAATTTCTGATATGTCGATATGCGAATCATTTCCAACATGATTACCACTTGTTTTACGGTGAAGGATAACATCGTGAGAAAACCTGAATGGCCGAGAGAATCTAGTAATATTTCAAAAGACATGTAAAGTACGCTCGAACTTGGCCAGCGTGGTGGGCTATGACGTTATTCCCCTCCTGTTGACAGAATGCCTGTGTTTAGCAGTGGGACGTTAAAAAGGGCTGAATACGTATTAGGGATATATTGTATGGTTGTTACTCCATAACATGATAACGGTTGGACGGGTTTTTAAAGAAAAGTAGTTCAACTATAGACTACGATCTGGAATAGGCTACTAAAAATTAATTTCGCCAAAGGTGGTGCTGTCTAAGTAGGTAGGACGCACACGAGCGGAATTAGTGTAAGTCGTTAGTATATAATAATACTAGAGACTGACCGTCGCTTCAATTCGGGTTCGTCCCTAGACAAAAACAGATCTATCCCACGGGAACTGTTCATTTTTCGGGATAAAAAGTAACCTATGTACTATTCCAGACTATAATCTATCTTCGTGCCAAATTTCATCCAGATCCATTCAGCAGTTCCGGCGTGATTGAGTAACAAACTTCCATCCATCCTCGTAAACATTCACATTTTATAATATTAGTAGGATTTAAAAGCATTATAGAGTGTAATTGGTTAGAACAGGCCGCAGAAGAGGCCGTCGATAAGTTATAAATTTTCACGTCAATACTACGATGTACAGACACTTATTTTCTAAGTCAGCGATTTGGAAAATCGCCTTTGAAACTTGTGTCGATTGAATAGTCTACGTCGGGAAATAATTATCCTTGCTTTAAAATTTAATATCCTACTATTTAAAACTCTTAATATTTATGAGGCTGTGTGTTTGACTGACTATTTCACGCCAAAACTACTGAACACATTTTGATTAAACTTTACAGTAATCTATACTAATATTACAAAGAGGCAGAGTTCGTTTGTTGTTTCGTTTGTCCGTTTGTTTGTTTGAATGCGCCAATCTCAGAAACTACTAATTTGATTTGAAAAAATGTTTTTGCGTTAGGTAGCCCGCTTATTAAAGAAGGCTATAATAGGTTATATCTTCTTCTTCAGACACGGCTTTTTCCGCACTTTGCCCGTTGAATATAGTAGAACGAAACTGAACTACGCGGATGGATCCGCGGCAAAATGCTAGTAATAATAAAATAGATACGGCTGTGTAGAGCAGCCAGTTTTTTTTACAAAAGTTTCATCTCCTACAACATATATTAGTGCATAAGTATCCTTTTCTGTTAAAGTATCATAAAAAAATGGTCCAACAGTTTCGGAGGTGAGTGCGGACATGTGTACTACACATACATATCAAATACACACAATCCCTGAGTAGTTATAGACTTTTATAATAATTTTATGTGGATGTTATACTATAATAATGATTATTTAATAAAAATATGTATAGTTCCAGGCCTGTGCCATATGTATTCATCAGCATTTCATCTAGATCATCGACACATAACGTAAGCGCATTCACGTGCGAATATTAATATTTTTTCAATTTTTGTAATAATATCAACAAGATTGAAATTATAAACGCTTCAAGAACTTATACAAAGATATATAATCGTTCCAATAATAAATACTATGTGACAAAGTTTAATGGCCAATATCGTGAGCATTTATCCGCTTGGAGTTATTTCAATTATCGATTCCATCGAATTAATTGATTTACCTGCATTGGTTAGGCATAGCGCATTGCTGAATAAAGCAACTCTGTTGTATTGCTAGGTGAATTGTTATACATTGTACTATTATAATAAATAATATTTCAGTTAAAGTCCCACTGCTGGGCATGAATCTGTCAAGAAGTCGGATCAAGCCAAAGTCCAAAGCCCTCCCAATTGAAGTCTGTGGACTTCATATGTCTTTCAAAAGAAATTGCGTCTTGAAAATGATTTAAGGCATATTCATGTTTTTGTTTAATATTAGATAATACAGATCAAAGCCTATGATGAGATCTAATCAAGTGAACAAACGGAAAACGGAAATTCTTATTACTATAAAAGTTTATATTCAATTATAATTTAGAGCTGTGTCTTATCTCTCTTATTATCCTATCCACTCTCTTTATCTCCTTCTGCCTCTTCTGATTTCATTCTCTTCCTTTAATCTCGACTTCATCTCAGGTGATAACCAATGACGATGATGTATATAGACTGTCATATAAGAAAAATAAAACTGCCTTTTGAATCCGGAGCTCAGGGGCTTGAGTCACAGGATGGACCAAGTTGCTATAAAGGTTTTTTGTCAAAAGAAAATCTCAATAATATATTGCCTGGACAGAATTTGGTGGTGATACATCTCCATGCTTCGGAGAGCACTTTCGGCAATAAGTCTTGCTCCTGATCTCCAAATTATTATCTCACCAGACTTTAAGAGTTAAAGCAATAGATAGAGCACTCGTGTTACACTTGATCACCATAATATCTCCTGCACAGTTTGCTGGTCGCGATGAGATGAGATTAGCTGATATGAAAGCTAGTATAGATTAGTTCTCAGAATGACATAAGTTGTGGTTACTCTGTCATATGATATGTCATTGTGTCTAGTACATATTGACAACGGTGTCCCATTACCAGTTACATAATGTCCTAGCTCGCTTGTACCGGCTAAAGTGGCCTTGGGAAGTCTATTATCCAAAGCCCCAACAGCATGTAGGTCTATAATATAATTTGTTTATATACGTACGTTATGTAATAACCGTAAAACTGATTTTCCTAAAATCAGATAAATACGAGTCTCCGAAGGAGGTTTTGTTGCAGAGTTATGTTTTCACATTTTGGCCAAAATAATTTTGAAAGTTTTTGTTACATTACCTCCAAAGAAAAAAAAGCATTAAATTTTCAGAAAACGGTCCCAATTCTCCTAGAGAGAGAAATTTTTTAGCAGTATCTCAGACAATCTCATGGGGTCTTAATTTTTAGGTATTATTGTTGTTCTTTTTTATGTATTTTGCTATGGTTATCATTAGAGGGATTATTTTATATTCAATATCAAAGTACTTGAAGTAAAGTAATTGGTAGATGTTATACTCTAGGACCATACTAGTAATAAATGATTGAATCTATTAATAAAGTTACTAATCTAATATTGTAGATAATTATGATTGACATCCTTCTTGCAGTTTTCCTAGTACTTATTTATTGGCCAGACGTCGTCGGTTTGATTCCTAATTAGGGCAAGTATTTGAAAATGTACAAGATATTCATATCGACATAAAAACAAACTGGAAAGCGAAAACAATATATATACTCTTTAAGTTACTAAACTAAATTATATGCGCTGAGCCTAAACACGGATATCTCTGCAGTATTTTAGTAAAGAGTATAAGATAAATGGATGCTGCAGCATCAGGCCAAGGTTACCATATCATTGCAATGTCATAACGAGATATCACGCTTTGGATCGGTTAGATCTGTGGAAGTTGCCCATATCCTTTTACCTTATAGAAAAGAGCTGATGACCTGCAAACGACTTAACGGATTTTCTTCATTTATAGCTAAGAAAACTCTCGATCAAGTGACTTTTCAAATATAAAAAAAATAAATTAAAATCGATTCATCCGTTTGGGCGCCCAACGGTGTCACAGACAGACACACAGATACAACGTTAAAGTTATAATACGCCTTTTTTGCATCGGGTTATAATATAATACAACTTTAAGTACATAAACCTGTTTTATAAAAATGTAGCATTGTTCAATTCTCCTATTGGAATGATGTAACTGATTTTCTTTTTCTTTTTTTTTCAGGGCTGAATGCGTGTGAAAGAAAATCCTACCTGTTTTTAAGGAAGGAGCTGCCAGTAAGGTATGTTATAAAATTTTAAAAGGCCATTTTGTTTGTTGTTTGTTTTGTGGGCTAGTCTCAGTCAGATTGGCCCTCGTGTTCATCATGATGTTCCACCGTAACGTCTAAACTACTGCGAGGCGATTTTGATCAGTGAGGTGTCAATCGATTGATAATTATTATTGTCCGGATGACATGCGCTATATTATGGTTCATTTGTTTTTGCTTCTTTCTGACTTCATACATACACATAGTTACGTTTTAACGTTTAACTCAGAGATGAGATATTTTACTACAGTCAAAAGTATCCTTTATGTTGACCCGGATAACCAGCTATCATCATACTAAATTTTATCAAAATTTGTCCAGTGGTTTTATCGTGATGCGTTCATATTCAGATAGACAGACAAAAATCTAAAAACTATAGATTCGGTCTCTAATCTCTATATCGATAATAATTAATAATGTCTATTTCAATAATGTTTTGTAAAAAATATTTAATGTACAAAATTCGGCTTAGTTAGAATTTTATTATATGTGTAGATTTTGAACTGAACCGATTTTAATGAAATTGTACAGTAATTTAGCTTAAACATCAGAGTAACATGTTGTAATACATAAATGAATTCCGCTGGAGGAGCCGCGGGAAAACACTAGAAACACAAAATATAAACTCTCATTATACTTTCATATCCATAGTCCATACTAATATTATAAATGTGAAAGTGTGTTTGTTTGTTTATCCTTCTTTCACGTCGAAACGGAGTGACGGATTCGCGTGATTTTTTGTGTGGAGATAGTTGGAGGGTTGGAGAGTGACATAGGCTACCGCGGGAGATTATCTAATTCCTACGGGAAAACACGTTATAATACAATCAAACAAATATATGTACTATCAGAATTACTTGAAACATGGTATTAATGCTTTGCAATAAAAATAAATAAATACGTGTTTCATCCTATAAGAGAGTAAAATTGGGGTTGAAAGTTTATATGAAACTACCTTTTTAAGAATTTTTTTTCAGTTGCGCGAGCGAAGCCACGGGTTCTGCTAATAGTATATAAAAATATGTTTTTTTGCCTAGACTAAAGATCTATTTTTTTTATTGTTACACTAATGTCAAATGCCATGTCGGCACTGAGTAATATAATGCTGGTCAGTAAATATTTGTTTTATCCACTTTCTAGATAATATATAAAGCACCATAAAATTGCCTTATCTTAACTAAATGTTTGCTTTTCGATATGAGTTGGTATCAATATGATTTTTCGAGAAGTGTCCATATGTGATTGGTTTGCTATACAACTTTGATGAGGTATTTTTATTACCCGACTGCGGCGCAGCCCAAAGGAGGGTTATGTGTTCGACCTATATGTAATATGTATGTATTAGTGATGTAACGAATGTTCGATTTTTCACTTTAGCAAATGCGAATATCCATCTCCAATATTCGAATGCGAATGCGAATGTTGACTTAACTTAATTTTATTTACAAATAGTACTTCAGAACTTCGTCATTTATTAACCAATTCGGACAATTTTTTTTTGTTTGAAAGCGTATTCTTCCAATTTGGTCCTACTTAAGTTTGAAAAAAAAATACCACCTCTAAGAGTGGAATAATAGCTAATAAAATTTTTACCTGCTTCTATTTTCATATTGACTTGAAACTTTGCAAGCGTTTTTATTTCCGTTGATAGTGCAGTAGTTCGGTATCGTCGACCTGATCTGATGGTAAGCCCAGAAGGTGGATAGGTGGAACTCTTCAACGGCTTATAGTAAATACTTTCAGTTTGCGCTTATTTTTTTTGATTTGACAAGCCTAACAACTTAGAATTGGATTTAGAGCTTGATTTTTAGTGCTACGAATAAAAGCTAATTTTAATTTGTCAGTCTTTATGTATAAATTGGCATCAAACTAACTTAAACGCTTAAGCGAATATTTTATTAAAATATTTTCTTCTTACTTTGCTACTAATGTGTATACACTAAAAAAATAAATAACAAAAAAAACCGACTTAAAAAAAACGTAGTTGGTGCCAGCCAATGCAAATCAAAGCACATCGACTTCGAAAATATCTGGTTAGGTCTATAGTAAATGAAATCGACCATCAGTTGTTTTTTACTTTTTAGAGTTTTTTTTTTGAAGTCGGTTTTTATTTATTATTTTGAATTCGCGAATGCGAATGCGAATATCCATCTCCAATACTAGCGTATGCGAATGTTGAATTAATTTTATTTACAAATAATTTAAGTTAGTTAAGTATTCATTTTTTTTGAGTGTATATTTCATTATGTTTAAAATGTTTATGTTGTTAAAACAACATCTACAGTGGAATGGAAAAATATATAATTGAAGCCAACAAATTATATTATAACATTTTGGATATTGGACGTTTAATTTTGGTTCAAATATAATGTAGAATATGATTTTTTTTAAATGTAATGAAGGACATTCATTTCCTTTTTAGTTGTGATTTTTTGTTACATTATAATTAGACAAACAAAAGCAAAATAGATATATCTATACTATCAAACTAACTTAAACGGCTCAAGCGAATATTTAATAAAATACTGTCTTCTTACTTTACTACTATTTCATATGTCTACACTAAAAAGGGAAAAATAAAAACTAAAAAGTAAGTTTGGTAGTTTTCATTTAGAATATTCAGATATTTTAAGTTTTTATTGTTTATGAAATACATTCGCCAAACATTAGCATCGTTTTTTGCGAATACGAATGCGAATGTCAAAAATATGCGAATATTTGCGAATGCGAATGTCGAAAATATGCGAATATTTGCGAATGCGAATGCTAAATGTTCGTTGCATCACTAGTAAGTAATGTATGTCCGATCCTATGTTTCCCAGTAATTATTAAACGGCTTAACCGATTTCGATGATTCGTATTTCATGTATCGTTCGATTCGTCTTCATAACTTGTTCATAATATACCTACAGGTTTTGTACTAACTGCTATTCTTATGTTAGCATTGCGCTGCGCCTTTTGTTTGCTTTTGAAACAAATGTGTTTACTTTATTGTAATACTAGTTTACCTGGACCAATTTTGTCCTAATGATTGATTTTTTATTTTTTTGTTTGTGATCTTTGAGTAAATTAAAAATTATATAAAAATAAGGCCTTTTCCGAATTTTTTTCATTTTCTGGATAAAATCAAATCATGCTAGATAAAAAAATGTTTTAAATAATTTATATATGTAATTGTTATTAAGTACATTACTTGTTATTAAGTACTTATTAAGATTTACGCGAATATTTGTTTTTTTTTTTAATTTAAATAAAACTGTATTTTTAACCCATTTCAAAAAAGGGTTCTCAATTCTTCGGAATCTTTTTTTTTATATATGTTCACTGATTACTCGGAGACGCCTGAACCGATTTGAACATTTCTTTTTTCGGATTTTCGATAGTTTCTGCCGTGACCATAATTGCGGCAAAGGGTTCAAACGTCGCGTCGGGGAAAGAAAATATTCTCAAAAATAATTATAAATTAAAATTTTAAAAACCCCCTACGCAAATGAATTGTCATTTAACGATTACACTGGCACGCGTGAATCATCATTTTGGAAAAGAGCTGATACTCTTACACTGCTGGACCGATATTAACCAAACATAGCTAAGAACTACCGCAAAGAAACTGGCTTTCAAATGAGAAAAACCGCATCGAAATCGGTCATCGTTTGAGAGCTACGATGCCACAGACAGACATACACACACACAGACAGACATCGACGTCAAACTTATAACACCCCTCTTTTTGCGTCGGGGGTTAAAAAACAAAAGACAATTTTATTTTGTTGCTATTATTTTTCTACTTTCTGGGAAGTTTATCTCTGTTCATTATATTATTTACACCCTCGCTCCGGTCGGGCTCGTCCCGAGAAACGTTTTAACAGTTAGTATAGCTTTCTCAGAGATGAGATATTTTTCCGCAGTAAAACGTATCCTATATGTCGACTCCGATAACGAGCTATTATCATACCAAATTACATCAAAATCTGTCCAATGGTTAACTCGTGATGCGGTCACAGACAAACAGCCAAAAATTCTAAAAACGATAGATTCAGCCTCTGTTTCGATAATAATGACTATTTCAATAAGATGTACAGATTCGACTCAGAATATTATTATATGTATAGATATAAGATAGATATTATGTTTTTGTTTTAAGCAGTATTCGTCATGAATAAATACATGTTTATTAATAGTACTAGCATTGCCCGCGGCTCCGGCCGCGTTCAGATGACCAAAAACCAAATTCTTAGGTTTTACATGTTACTATACTCTTACATTGCAGTTTTTGTATTTTTTCTCTTAAATGAGATATTTTCCCGCGGTAAAAAGTATCCTACATGTTGACCCGGATAACCAGCTACCATCATACCAAATTTTATCAAAATCCCTCCAGTGGCTTTTCCGTGATGCGATAACAGACAGACAGACAAACAAAAATTCTAAAAACTATAGATTCGGCGAATAGAGATATCGATAATAATTTTTATTTCAATAAGATCTTCCAAAAAGTATTTAATGTACAGATTCGGCTTAGTTACAATTTTATTATATGTATAGATTGGTATTTTTATTTTTCCAAATATAACATAATGTATGTTAAGCGATTCATATGTTTTGACAGAATCTGAATTGTAATTTTGTTATTGAATTCAGTCGTCTGTGTGTGCGTAATTTGTATGGAAGGTGTGTAATAATGGCATATACCTATGGTTAGTACGTTATTATAAGATTAGAAGTTTGTTTTTCGTATAAGAAAATGTTTTTTTTTTGTAATCTATACTAATATTATAAAGAGGTAAAGTTTTTGAGTTTGTGACGTTGTAGAAGGTAATCTCTGGATCTACTGAACTGATTTAGATGAAACTTGGTAAGAAGATAGTTTGAAACCCTAGGAAGGACATAGGACTTTATATCCCGGAAATCATTCTTTAAGGGGGTGGGTCCAAATGGGGATGGAAGTTTGTATGGGGAATCAAATATAGACTAAGACATTATACACAGTATACTCAGTGTATACACCGAGTGTCCCTGTGTCTACGCGAGTGTCCCTAAATGTGAAATCGCGTAGATACAAGACACTCGGTGTATACACTGAGTTTACCGTGTATAGTGTCTAACTAACCAGCCTTTAGAAAGAGTGCAAAAATTGGCTTGAACCAAATGTCTGGAAAATATGTCGCAGGCTTAAATGGACTTAAAATTTATTCATACCGCTCAGTTACATATACGGAATGGCACCACTTTATTCTAATCATATATATATTGAGAAAGTTTGTTTGTACCGAATAAGCTCCGAAACTTCTGAACCGATTTAGATGAAATTTGGTAAGAAGATAGTTTGAGACTAGAAGAGACTGAGAAGGACATAAGATAGTTTTTGTCCCGGAAATCATCCCTTAAATGATGAAAATGAGGATGAAAGTTTGTATCGGAAAGCAACGTAGGGACGAACCCGCGCGAATTTATAAAATACCCGAAAATTTTATAATTTCACTACAGAATTGTCTTGTCGTTCACATGAGACACCCTCTTATCAAATTTCTGAGTAAAATGGCTGTGACATACAGACATATGGTTAAAATGAAGTTATAAGATTCCGTTTTTGCCTTTTGACTACGAAACCTCAAAAAACTTTCATAGGTTTTTTATTTTATGCGACCAGTTCTAAGATTACCGTTTAGGTCTCAATAACATTTTTTTAAGTCGGATAAAAGAAACATACATAAAAAACAACTAATCTGTTCTTACAAGTGTGACGACCTGTGTCCTTGAAGTAGATATTTACTACACATCGTACGCACTTCTGACGCATTAAAGTTTACACAACAGTAAATACTCGAATTATGCACTATCATATATATATATATATATATATATATTTATATTTTCAATCGTTTAGTTTTTTTTTATTACCCGACGCGTCTGAAGGAGGGTTATGTGTTTCGAGTGAATGTATGTATGTACGTATGTATGTACGTATATTTCTTTAGTACGCTTTGTAGCCTAGACGGCTTGATGAATTTTAGCTTGAGAGGTGTTGTTAGATTCGTCTTAATTGTGAGAGTGACACTTGGCATATCAAAGTTATAAATATTAAATTGGCCGATTTTTGGCGGTATATTATGTTTTCTAATTTTTTTCCCTCAAATCCTATTGAGTGGGATATCAATATGAAGGGTTTTATAAATGGCTTAAAATGGTTTTTGGGTTGTGTTATGACGTGTTTTCCCGTGGGTATAATAGATAATTTGACGAGGTAAAAAATAGCCTATGACACTCTCCAACCCTTCAACTATCCCCACACAAAAAATAATGCCAATCCGTCATTCCGTTTCGACGTGAAAGAAGGACAAACAAACAAACACACTTTTACATATATAATATTAGTATGGATTAGTGAATAAATAAATGTATTAGTTTAGATGCTCGCTTGGCGCAGCGTTTGGAGGTCATGTTATATTCCTGGCTAAATCAATAGGATCATATCTGGTGTATACACATTACATATGTTGTACACGTGTTGTTTTGATCTAGTTTTAACCGATTTCAAAAAGGAGGTAAACAATTCGTGTGTATGTTTTGTTGTGTGTGCTACGCGATTTTGTGTTCAACCCCTATGGACTTTGAGTGAGATTTCTAGTATAGAATTAACAGTAACACTATCTAATATTTATCCTAATAAAGGAAATAAAAGGAATTATCAGTAGCCATCAATTTTTTATGCTTTACTAGCATTGCCCGCGGCTCCGCCCGCGTTCAGATGGCCAAAAACCTAATTCTAAGGTTTTACATATTAGTATACTCTTACATTGCAGTTTTTGTATTTTTCTCAGATATGAGATATTTTCCCGCGGTAAAAATTATCCTATATGTTGATCCGGATAACCAGCTATCAACATACCAAATTTCATCAAAATCCCTCCAGTGGTTTTTCTGTGATACGGTAACAGCCAGACCAAAATTCTAAAAACTATAGATTCGGCCTTTGTATCGATAATAATGTTTATTTCAATAAGTTTTTTTTTGATTTTGAAAAAATATCTAATGTACAGATTCGGCTGAGTTGAAATTTTATTGTATGTATAGATGTGTTTAATAAATTATTATACAATATGGTTTCGTACATCACAAGGTGAAAAGAATATATTATCTTATAGGATTACTTAGTGGTCTTTCTGACTGTCTATCAAGACCCTTTTTCTCAGGAACGCGTGGAAAATCAAACTTCTAAGTCAACGGAATCAAATATAATATGGCCTTTAATGCCGCATATTTTGACACTGGAATTCCTGGATCCTGTTGACTTAGAATCATGAAATTTGGCAAGAAGCAATGTCGTGTGGCACAAAAAAGGGACAAATCCGAAAACCGTCAACTTTGAGTTACATAAAAAAAACAACAGTTCCAAATATATATTCGTCCCTGTCTCTCATTCCAGGTTAGCCAACATAATGAAAGAGATAGCGCTACTTCCACAAAACCTTCTACAGATGCCGTCGGTGGGTCTGGTGAACCAGTGGTACGAGCGGTCCTTCGAAGAGATAATAGAGTTCGAGAAGAGAGAACCCGAACCGCCAGTATTGTCACAGTAAGTATATACTATATTTATATATATATATACATTTTGACGATACGTTTAGCTCAGTTTGTGGTGGCGAATCCGATTCTTAAAATTATTTTACTCATGGACTACTCAGGAACCCACCTTACCGCTGAGAGCTAAATTATATTTATTCCGATAATAAATATGTTGGGACATTAACACACGGCACCATCTAACTAGATGTTATGGATACCAGATAGTTAATACACTACACATATATAATTTTAAATACATACATATTATAAATATATACATCATGACTGGAGTACAAACATTCGTGCTCATCACGTAAAGAATCCAAACCAGCGGGACTCGAACCCGCGACCGCTGCACAGCAAGTAGGGAAACTGAGCCAAACGTGTCATCATAGTAATGGGTTTACTGTCAAACATAATTTATTTTAAAATTAAAATCACAAGAAAAATGGCAGTACATAAGAGTCCTAGGGATGTACCAGACTAAAGTGAGAGTAAGGCTATAGTGATGTGTACGTGATTCCTTTCAGGTTTTGTGAACGTCTCGTCCATATAAGGAATCGTCACGCAGACGTGGTACAGACGATGGCTCAAGGGGTCCTCGAACTGAAGGAGTCCCACGAGGTGGATCCCGGGATAGAGAACTCCATACAATACTTCCTTGACAGATTCTACATGAGCAGGATATCTATACGGATGCTCATCAATCAGCATAGTGAGTAATACTTTCTTAGATTTACGCGAATATTTGACATTTTAAATAAAATTATCTTATCGGATTATTTCGCGGATTTATTTGGATTTTTGGTTTCCGACGTTTCGAATGCTTTACAGCTATCATGGTCACGGAAGGGACTCTCCCGATTCGCGAAAAGAAAGTTTTATTTAAAACAGCACAGTGAGTCTTAAACCTTATATGTAATAGATTGGCGACTAGCGACTAGGTTGGTTCCCCATACAAACTTTCATCCAGTAGTTTCGGAGCTTACAAACAAACAAAAAATCTCGGTACAAGCAAACCACAAAATCTCTCCTCTTTATAATATTAGTATACATAGCGATATGTACATATGTATAAATTATTAAATGTCAAAATAGGCTTTTTCAGTCATAAACCGCTGAACAGATTTCGATTAATTTTGGCTGTTATATATAGATTGCATTCTGAGGATGGATCTAGCCACTTTTGATTTCCACCTTAGTTACGCAAGCGAAACCGCGTACAAGAACTATTCCGATATAAATAATTCTTACAATGTATTGCAATTCGTTAGTTTTTTATATCTGTCACGTTTGCTTACAATGTGTTTTATAACATAGCCATTAATTATCGTATGTTCGAAGTATAGTTTGCTCACATCGCACGTCCGACGTCGTTATTACAAAATTAATGGGAAAAAAAGTCAAAATAAACCTCTAAAGTAAAATTAAACTTGTTTAACACACTAGTTGGTCGTTATAATGATTTTAAAAATCGATCTTCTCAGATCTCAAAAATTCTATTGATATTATGAAGGCCCAAGTTTGTGATGATGTATGTTTGTTACTCTTTCACGCAAAACTGCTTAACGGATTTTGATAAAACTTCGCAGTAATATTAGCTATACATCAGAGTAACACAAAGGGTGCAATTTATAAAGATATAGTAATTATACATTCTCATTCTGGATACGCTAATGATATAGATAGCCTATAAATACTTTATGTGTTTCTTGGCTTCTCGCCCGGCTGGGTTGCCGGACGCTAATAAGATTCCCTACTACGACATGGTTCCTTGTGGTTTGTGCGGTGGAACCACCTATGTGTTATTACCTCTACTTATTAACCCTCCCCCCTCCAGCTATCCTATTCGGGGAGCAGCTGGGGGCCCGCCAAGCCTCTGTCAACGGCATGGGCAATGGCGGTCGCCACATAGGCTCCATCGACCCCGCGTGCGACGTCGCCGCAGTAGTGCGCGACGCGTACGAAAACGCGCGTTTCCTCTGCGACAGATACTATCTGGCGTCGCCGGAGCTGCAGCTGATGCAGGATGGACGTGAGTATATTGTACATTACGATATATACATATATATTATATACATAAATAAGTCATAAAAAATATATTTGAACATTAATTCGCAGCACCATCTAGTTCCATGGTAAGCTACGAGGTTTGTGTTGTGGATACCAGATAGTTGATACACTACACATATATGTATAAGTTTAAATACATATACAGATATTATAAATATAAATCATATATACATACATGTAATAAAATAGTAGCAAAATGAAATCTGTATGTGAAATATCTTTTTAAAGAATGACTGTAACGTATTGTGTGCAGAATAAATAATAGTTATTGAAATTTTTATATGTTTGTCTGTATGTCTGTTTACATTTCACGCAAAAAGTACTGAATGAATTTAAACTAAATTGAGAGTGTAGTGGTAACTTATTTCCCGGGTCAACATTTATGGTATCTTTTACCACTGGGAAACCTTTCATTCCTACGGGAAACAATATATTTCATCGAAATCGATCAACCGTTGTAAGTACTTGAAAGGGTCAAACATACAAACTTCAAGCGCGCATGTTCGTCATCGTTAGGCCCGATACACACTATAAATACGATCACGGTTTGTTCTATGTCCGAAATCGGTTTGATAAAGTATTTTTATACAGGAACAATGTGAATTTTTTTTTATAACAATACTTTACCAGACCGATATCATCACTATAATTTGCTAAGGCCCGCTCCACACTATAGTCCCGATCACGGTTCGTTCTCGATCTGATATCGGTCTGGTAAAGTATTTTTATACAAGAAACAATGAGTGCATTCTCGTTATCAGTCAAGTCATTGAGACATGTAACACCTCAGTCTCTCCCGTGACCACGATTTCTGTAAAGCATTCGAAACGTCGGGAACCAAAAATCAAAATAAATCCGCGAAAAGATACGAACAAAGTTTTATTTAAATAAATAGTGTGGATAGGCGCATAGTGTACCTGTATGTCTGTCCGTGTGCTCTTAGTGCCGAGCGCTCAGCCGCTGCCGATCGTGTACGTGCCGTCTCATCTGTACCATATGTTGTTCGAGCTGTTCAAGAACGCGATGCGCGCCGTCATGGAGTGCCACGAGAGCAGCCCGCCGCCGGTCTGCGTCAACATTGTGCGCGGCAAAGAGGATGTGTCCGTCAAGGTGAGGGGAAGAGGGCGTTGGGGATATTGTGGAGAGGGAGGGTGGTGTTGGGGATATGGGTAGAGGGTCGAGTTGGGGATATGGAGATAGGGTGAAGGGTGGAGTTGGGGATATGAGGAGGGTGGTGTTGGAGATAAGGTAGGGAGGTTGTCACCTCAATATAAATGAAGTACTGGCAACTATGCCTTAGTAGGGAGGAGAGATCGAACGTAGGAAGGGAGACGTCGGTAAATGTGTTCGGAAGTGCATCTTGTAAGGTCAAGGTGTGGTTCCTAATAGTCAACTCAAAATGGTGACTTGGTTTAACAAGGTTTTCCTAAAACGTAACCATTTTAATTGAAGTCGAAAAAAAAGTGTTATATGATATTTATTACCTATGTAAAATACATTTATGTATATGGGAACTTCTGGATATTTTGTTTACTCATAAATACTGAACGGCTTTATTGATTGCCCCAATTGCTAAACAAATTTAGCCTAAGAATTCCACGTAAACCTATTACTCCACTTTGTCGTTCACTTTGCCGAACGATCCTAGGTGCCAATTACCCAGTCCCACGGTTATGTGAGACAGTAAATTCTTATAGCTTAGATGTCGACATATTTGCTGATTCCTTAGCCAGTTTCCGCAAAACCATTAGCACCAAATTACTAAATAAATTCTTTGATAGTCTTAAATAATATCATAATTGCTAAATTAATGTAACTGTGTATCTGCTCATTGATTAATTAAAAAAAAACTATTTACTTCTAAAATATATCTATTTTGAATAATATTTTAAGAAATTTTATGTCTATGCATGCTGTGTTTATTTGTAAGTAATCACTACATTTAGTTCCTAATTTTTATCTATTTTTTTTTAATATTGTGTGTATTATTGTAAGTGATTGTAAATAAATCTAATAAATAAATAAATAAATGTATATATATAATAGGTTAGTATGTTTAATGTTCGTCTGTCACCGATTACAGATGTCAGACCGCGGCGGCGGGATACCGCGCAGCGTGTCCGATCTGCTGTTCAAGTACATGTACAGCACCGCGCCGCAGCCATCCAAGTCCGACCACACCGTGCCGCTAGCTGGTACGTGCATACATACATACATACACACATACGAGATATATATTTATTTATCTTAATATATATAATTCTTTTGTACATGTGTTTGTTAACCTACTCCTCAAGGGCTGAACCGATTTGGATTAAACTTCACCTCCTCTCCTCTTGGCTCTTGGTTTGTTTGAAAACTTAATTAGACCCGATATATTTTTATATAAACTTAATTTAAACGTTTGCACAGCTATTTATGGAAGTATTTTATGTGGTTACGAGTATATAAGGAGCCATTTACGTTGTACAATAAACAAAAAAAAAAAAAAATTTAGACTATAAGAAATAATATCTATATCACATTGCTGACATATAAAATTATATAATTTAAAGCTTCGTAAGAGTGGTGAATTATAAACGTATCTATTTTTTCCTTGTGGGATATGAAATGGTTTGTAGTTAATAGCTCTTGCTGCAGATCTTGGTGTTTGTATATTTGACGACACGTTTGGCTCAGTCTGTGGTGACCCTACTTGCTGTGCCAACGGTCGCGGGTTCGAGTCCCGCTGGGGGCATTCATTTGTGCGATGAGCACGGATGTTTGTACTCTAGTCATGAGTGTTTATATTTATAGATATGTATTTAAAGTTATATACGTGTAGTTTATCAACTACCTGGTATCCATAACACAAGCCTCGTAGCTTACCATGGAACTAGATGGTGCTGTGTGTTAATGTACCAACATATTTATTTATTAATACTACATAATATGTACGTAACTAACTGCCTTTAAAAAGAAAATAAACCTTCTCATCCGAGTTACTCCACAATTATAATATTTTATGTATTATATTATATAGATATGTATTTATGTATGTAATAGTATGTATATAATATATGTACTGTATAATGTACAGATTATAACTTTATTATATGTATAGATCAGTGGCGGAGGGTCCATACAAAACGTCTTACCTTAAAATGTATTTTGCTATAATTTTACATACATTTATATATATATATATATATATATATATATATATATATATATATATATATATATAAATGTGCAATTCGTAACTTCAGAAAATGATATGAATATAGAGTATCAGGAGTAGGATAATCATAAGGATTTTTTTATATTATTTTTACCAAGTTTAAAAGTTATTTTACATTTTATTTGACATAAATATAAACATGACATAATAATCGGTAATGAATTTTATTATTTTTCACTTCCTGTGTAATGTATTCTAACAAATAACAACGGTTACCATGGCATCATCGCAATGTATTCTATCTCATTCTATCGCCGGCTTAATCCTATATATTTATATGTTTGTCTCTTTTTACTGTCGCATTTCCGTTGCATCGAGTTTCAAATCACAACGATTCTAAAGAAGTTTCACTTCAATAAAAGCTTTATTTCTTTTTGCATTAATACGTATATACAAATTGTATCTTTTTGGAACGGCTTACCTCTGTTAAAATGTCAGCCTCCGCCACTAGTATAGATAAAGATTATAAAAAAAAGTTTAATTTCATACCATTTACCAGGCTACGGCTACGGGCTGCCCATATCGCGGCTGTACGCGCGCTACTTCCACGGCGACCTCGTGCTCATGTCCTGCGAGGGGTACGGCACCGATGCCGTCATATACCTCAAGGTGACCATCATCATCACGATCAGATAATCATCACCACCACCGTTGTCATCGCCATCATCGTCACCAACACCGCTATACCACCATAATAGTTCATCATCATAATATTCATCAACACTGGCATCATCATCACCCTCATCATCATCGCCATCATAATATTTATCAACACCATCATCATCACCGCCATCATAATCATCATCACACTCGTCATCACCATCATCGTTACCATCATAATATTCATCAACACTATCAACATAATCACCATCATCGTCACATCATTATCAGTATTATCATTGTTATGTGCGTACATAAGTACACACACACGTTTTTTTTTTATATTTTTTGAAGTTATACTTCTTTTGGCACGTTTGAAAAATTATGATTTTTTACGATGCGCGCGCACTCCGACAGCCAAAAAGCGACATGATGAAGTTAGCTGCATTCCTTTTACAAACAGGGGAGGAAATCTTTAGCTATTTTTCTTCTGTTACGCCAAACAAGTATAACTTCTTACATACATAAGTACATACAAACTTTTTTTTTAATTTTCTAACAACGCACCAATTGCTGACAGGCGCTCTCCAATGAAGCGAATGAGCTGCTGCCGATCTTCAACCGTACATCATCCAAGTTCTACCGCAGCACCCCCGCGCCTGCTGACTGGTCTGCGCCTGTGATGGCGCCCTGCAAACGAGACAAGGGCTCCTCACCCTAGACCCAGCTGGTAGACCAGCTATGAGTGGTGGGGTGAAGTGTTGGTGGGAAGTGTCGAAAGTGTCGGAAGTGTAAGTGTTTGGTCATAAGTGTTGTAGATGTTAGGATGTAGAAGATGCTGGAAGTGTGGGAGGAGGGGGGTGTTAGAGGTGTGTATGGTGTAGATATGTGACTGTTGAGGGTCGGATGATATTATTATTTTATTAAATTATAAATTGTAGTAATGGCGTTCGAAATACTACGGTTAGAGTTGATTTTTTTTAATTTATTCGTATTATTAGTAGTGAGGTAACATAGAAACGAATGTTTTATGTTATTTTATCCTAACTCTGCCCTAAATCCGACCCTATAAGTGTTCCAAATTCCATCAAAATCGTGCGAGTGTTGTATGTAAAATTATGAGAATGATATTATTATTTCAAAACAAATATAAAGCTGACTTTAAAATAGTGTAAGAAATAAATATTCCACTCAAAAGGGTGGAATTTTTCTTTTAAATTTTGCGCGGGACCACCCTCGAGGTATAAGTCTATTACATAAAAGGAGATTAATACATTATTTTTGAGGTTGGTTCATTTTCTTTTTAAATCATTAGTTTTTTTATTAGTTGAATGTAAAAAATTTAAATAGTTGAATGTAAAAATTGTAATTTTTTACTGCTTTTCAAACAAACATACATATTGCCTATACATACATACTACATATATTTATGTCAAAAATAAACAATATTTAATATATATCTATATAATTTTGCAAAAGTATTAAAAATAAGAGAAGCCAAAAATGTAATGTAATTTTATACACCACATTGGATAAATAACAAATGAGTCTTTTTTTTAAGTTATACTTCTTTGGCATGTTTGGAAAAAAATATGAGAGTAAAATTTTTACAACGCGCGCGCACTTCGACAGCCAAAAAGCGACATGATGAAGTTAGCTGCATTCCTTTTACAAACAGAGAGTTGTGACATACGGGAGGAAATCTTTAGCTATTTTTGTTCTGTTACGACAAACAAGTTTAACTTCTTACGTGCGTACATACAGTACACACACACGTTGGTTTTTACAAAATGTATGACTTTGTATGGAACATTTAACTTTTATTATGATGATGGTTGTTTGTAACTAAAAGCAAATAATTTATGGTTGTCTTTTGCAAATGTATACAGGTTTCTTTTTTTTTTTAATTTGTATATTTTTAATCATGTGATACTCTGTAGGATATGGCTTGAGAGACTGAACAATGAAGCGGAATGTGTCATTTCCCATAACACCATAGGTTAATATAATCTGTGCTCTCAGTTTTAATTGTAAAAATGATATTTGATAAAAAAAATGTGGTGTTATTCGAAAGGTGTGATACAGACTTAGATCATACACGTAGAGAATAGACTGAGCGATGTATTTTGTGCTTTTTACGTCCCACTGCTGGGCGTGGGCCTTCAATACGAGTGGGATTAGGTCATAGTCCACCACGCGGGCCAAGTGCGGGCGGACTGAGCATGTCTGCAGACAACTTGCTAGGTTCTCTCAGGTTTCCTCGGAATGTTTTCCTTCACCGAATGAAAAGTGGTGATCATGTTGGAAATAATGCACATGAAAATATCAGAGGTGTGAGATTCGAGATTTGAACCCGCTACTCTTTCCCAAGCGCGCGCGTTACGACTGGGCTATCACTGACTGAGCAATACTCTCATAGATGATGAATGAAAGAGAGAAAGATAACGCGCGGTGAATATGTACCTGTCTTTTATTTCAATTTAAATTTATAAATGGAATATGGAAAAATATATTATTATTGAAAATTATAACATTACTAGCGACTCACCCCCGCTTCGCTCGGGTTCGTCCATAGCTTGATTCCCCATACAAACTTTCAACCCCATTTGCACACACTTAAGGGATGACTTCCAGGATAAAAAGTATCCTATGTCCTTCCCAGGGTCTCAAACAATCTTTTTACCAAATTTCATCTTAATCGGTCGGTAGACCCAGAGATTACCCTCTACAGCCTCAGAAAGTTTACTTCTTTATAATATTAGTATAGATATCAATATCTACCTTCATTAATCGTATTTCAATGAATACAGAAGACTTCTGGCCGCACATTCGTGTAGTCTCTGTCGCGCCTGTCCGCCATTTTTAGCAACACGCAAAGAAACACTCAGTCCACTCTCTATGTCTATGGACTAGATGAACAATGTTATTACTCTATGGTAAGGTATAGACAAAAGTTTATCATAGATGTAAGTTTCTTAGGTTTTTGTATAGAAAATGTATTTTTTCTTAGACAATTCTGAAAATATGATGTTTTTAAAACAAAAGTTTTCAAGATAAAAACTAATGTTGCCAGTTAAATTTTTAAATGTCAGCTGGTTTGACATTTAAAAATTGACAGTGACAAATCGTTTGAAAAACGGATTATATAATAATTTTTGTATGAAGCGGCTTCTGTATTGAAGATAAGTGTCAAAGTAAAAGTAAGATGTATGAAATATTAAAATGTCTAATGATCAGACATTAATTATATTTATATATATATATATATATATATATATATATATATATATATATATATGTATATTGAAATAGAATTATATGTTGTAGTTTTTTGCAGCACCAGTGTATACATATTTTGTAATTTAAACTTACCACCATTTTGGCAGTATAGAGTTTGTCTAGTGCCCTTAGCTACATTAAAAAAAGTGTGCTTAAGCAATTTACTCACGGTAGAAGTGAAACTTCTGTGACAAACATCGTAATTAAATAAAAACAATAATTAAATAGGGCATATGCCTTATTTAATTATTGATTGTTGTAATATTGCAATCATATATTTATAGAATATCATATACGGAAAGAATATAATATTATATATTTGTCAGACAATAACAACGGTTACCATGGCATCGTGGCCATGTGTTCTATCTCATTCTCTCGCCGGCCTAATACTATATATTTATTTGTTTGTCTCTTTCTCGCGTTGTATTTCCGTTCCATCTAGTTTCAAATCATACCGATTCTAAAGAAGTTTCACTTCAAAAAAAGGTTTTTTCTATAAATTATTTAAATAATTTTGTTTTTAATATATATAATAGAAACATTATGTAGTTAGTCTTTTCTTCATAGATAGATAATATGTAGATCAAATTTGTATCAACATTTTGTATGTAGCTAACATAGTGTAAGCTTGAATGTACAACTTATTTTTTTATAAAGGCACAAATTCTTACAAAGCTATATATACATATATATTATATATTGATTCGTTGAAAGTAAATATGTAATAACTGTACCCAATCATGGTCGTTTAATTTGTGAATGTATCGCATTTTCTATGTTTTTGTTTAGTTTTAAGCGTTATTCCAAATTATTTATGTAATTTAAAAGTAAGGGTAGAAGTGATTTAGAAAATGTTTAGTTTTTATTAATAAAAATTTAAGAAATAAAATCGGTGTCGTTATTTATTGCTACCTTTTGTTTTAATCAATCTATAGCAAGTTTTAGTCAGAGTCGTTATCTATATAGATAAATAAAATTGAAGTGTCTATGTGTAATGTCGAAATAACAGCTTTTTACTAAATAGGTACATAAGAATTATTATATACGGTACTTATAAGAAATCAACATTTTTTTTACAATTTATGTGTTTTGTCTGTTTGTTCCGTCTAATCTCCGAAACGGCTGGGTCGATTTTGACGAGACTTTCACAAGGAGATAGCTGATGTTATTAGGAGTAACTTGGGCTATTTATATTTTAGAAAAAGAATTAAGGTTCTGCGAATAAAATAAAACCCATGAAATTTTGAAGAAATTCCGCGTACCTCATTTAATCTATATGAGTACATTGTATTTATACTAATACATATTATAAAGAGGTAAAGTTTGTGAGTTTGTGACGTTGTAGGGGGTAATCTCTGGATCTACTGAACCGATTTAGATAAAATTTGGTAAGAAGATAGTTTGAGACCCTGGGAAGGACGTAGGATACTTTTATTTTTTATCTCTAGTGGGATGTTTGTTGAATCACCTTTCAGCAAAGGTGGAGTAGTTTTCCAGCAAGCTTCTTGTATCAGCATACTTATTTTTATTGATGCTTCTTCGATGTCTTCAGGGTTTTTGGAGCAATTATAAGGTCTATATGTTTTTCTAAAAAGTCGTGAATTGGCTCCCAATCTGTATACTTGCTAGTTAATGTTATTGGCCTTTCAAAATTAATCACCATTGTGCTCACTATGAGCAGGACCGGAGTGTAATCTGATGAGCCGTCCAGGCATAGCTCTGGCTTGAGGTATTGTCTGGAGAGCCCTTTTGACTATAAAAAATCAAGGATATTCGGGATCTTATTTGAGACTGTTGGCCAATATGTGGGTTCTAGTGCAGATATGGCGTGCAGTTTATTTGTTACTAGCATTGCCCGCGGCTCCGCCCGCGTACAGATGACCAAAAACAAAATTCTTAGATTATACATATTAGTATACTCACATTACAGTTTTTGTATTTTTTCTCAGAAATGAGATATTTTCCCGCGGTAAAAAATATCCTATATGTTGACCCGGATAACCAGCTATCACCAAACCAAATTTCAACAAAATCCCTCCAGTGGTTTTTACGTAATGCGATAACAAACAGACAGACAAAAATTCTAAAAACTATAGATTCGACCTCTATATCCTTTACTTCCCATTTTCGACCACTACTCGCTTCACTTAATGCCTCTATAGGGGCGATCTCGAATGGAGCGCCGAGCAACGGTGAGTCGCTAATTGTTAATAAACTCATAAAATTTACTTCTGATATGTTTTGTTTTTGAAAGGTTTTCTGAGATCCCACGATAAATACCTATCTATTGTCAATAAAAAAACCGAGAAGTCTTATGATTAGTTAAAAGTATATATATTTTTATAACTCAACTTGCCTAAAAACTTATTTACAATTTTTTTACGATAACTGCTTCTCCATAAAAAAAATCGAAAATGTCACAAAAATCTCACTAATGTGGGGAAAAAATAATAAAATCTAAATCATTTATTTATTTTATACCTTGCAACATTTTATCATCTGTGGACTGTCACTGTCATCGTGTGCCGAATGCCAACTCCTATTGGAATCGGTGGATAGGTTATGTATTACAAAAGGTTTATATAAAGGAAAAAAATAATAGAAGAAAGTAAAAATGAAGGTTTACACTAACGAAAATAACACTGCCACGTTAAAATTGCTCATTGCGGCGAACTTAGGTAGCATAAACATTGAGCTACACAAAGCAACATTCGAAGGTAATCAAAAAATCATTATAAATTCAGCTTTATAATTAAAATAATAACTTTATATCATATATTTTATAGTATTTTAAATAAACTATATTGCTTCAAAGAATAATCCATATCAGGTACATGCCATGCGAATATTTGCTTAGATATTTCATCATAGTATTGTTTACTTATCGATTTTTTTTATGATGGTCTGGGTTTTCTTCGATTTTCCTTCCCACGTGCGAGCATGCGTTCTTAAATATTGTATGAGATGAAACAATTAATGCTTATTTTTGTAATAATCGCAAGCGAAAAACTACTATATATATTATATAAATTATTATATATTATTTTTAATTTATTACAATAAATTCTATAAAATCTGTAAATAATTCTTATATTATTTTAAAATAAGAAGACTTTAGATATAAGATGGCTAATTTATTTTTATCACAACTATGTGAACAAAAATATGCCAAGTATTGTTGGTATTGTCTTATTTAATCTTACAAATGCTTAAAACAGTGATGAAACAAATAGTTGCTTTGCGGGATACAGGATTTTCGGCAAGCTCTAGGGCCACATGACTAATATCCATTTCATCTCTAGTTTTAAATATAATATAACATGTGCCTTTCAAAGTCATTATCCGTCTGCAGCGAAGTTCAAGAGATGTTTACTATGTATACTTATTCTCGATGGCTATAAAACTTCTTCTTATAATTTTCTATTATATTTCTAAAATTGTATATTCAAACCATTTATGTATTTACCTATTACAAAACATTATTTATTATCTTTACACCTTAATATTATTGCATGAGCATACTGGTTGTGGGTATTGAGTTGCCGTCTGCATGGCAGACTTGTTCTCAGGACCAAAGGTGCTCCCGCTGCTGGAGGTGGATGATCAGCTCAGTTTCTTCAGTAGCAATGCTGCCACACAGTACCTGTTTCCGGTATTGGATTTATCTGCTAATGGACAGTGGTAAGTACACTTTATTAATGTCAAAGTAATCCATATTAATATTATAATCTACCTGTGCCGTGCGGTGTCACCCGCTAAATTTATTTGATTATAAACACAGTTTTATAATAATATATGGAAGTCTGCCCGATTTGTTGGCATTTATGATAACTGCTCTGCTCCCTTGTCGCTTGAGTAGTAGCATGATGATATATAGCCTATAGCCTTCCTCAATAAAAGTGCTATCTAATGCATAAAGAATTTTACAAATCGGATTAGTAGTTCCTCAGATTAGTGCATTCAAACAAACAAAATCTGGCTCTTTGTAATATTAGTAAAGATGTGAAAGTTTGTGAGGTTGGATTGGTGGATGTTTTCACGCCAGAACGGTTTAGTAAACCGAAATAATAATGATCAACGGTTATTAATATAGAAAGGGGTTAGGTTTTGATACTGAAATAAACCAGTTAATCCCATTAATATTATAAATGTTCAACGCCAGAACGACTGAATGGTACGGATAAAATTTGGCACAGAGATAGTTTGTAGTCTGGAATAGCTCATAGGTAACTTTATCCCAGAAAAATATATGGTTTACCTAGGATAGATTTGTGTTAGTCTAGGGATAAACCCGAAGAGAAGTGAGGGTAAGTCACTAGTATTATAATAAATTTCTCATTCCACAGTCAACAAATGCAAGAGTGGGAGGCAACCCGCCTCCTGCCGATAGTGACATCAGTATTAACAAGTAAAACTGTGCCATCTGATCTCAAGCAAGCACTGATATCTGCACTGCTTATGGTTGATGCTGTGTTGGCCAAACATAAGTTTATACTTGGGGTAAGTTCTTATACAATATTTTTCTAGGTCCAAAGCACCACTAGGCATTGGTATCTCAATGGTAACGCGTTCGCTTAGCAAAACTAGTGAAACGGGTTCAAATCCCGGGTTTGAGATTTTCATGTGCGAATCATTTCCAATATGATTACCACCTATCTTACGGTGAACAAAAACTTCTCGAGGAAATCTGCATGTTTGAGAGAACGTAGCAAGTTTTCAAAAGATAATTTTTGCAATTTATAGTCTAAGCATTGAGGAAAATTACAATTTAGTTTAAATAATTAGTACAAACTTTCATCCCCATTTTCACCCCCTTAAGAGATGATTTCCGGGATAAAAAGTATCCTATGTCCTTCCCAGGGTCTCAAACTATCTTACCAAATTTCATCTAAATCGGTTCAGTAGATCCAGAGATTACCCCCTACAACAAACTCACAAACTCACAAACTTAACCTCTTTATAATATTAGTATAGATTAATATATAAAAATAAATATGTTTTCAGGACAAAATTTCCGCAGCAGATATATCAATATGGAGTACATTATATCCGCTTAATTTCAATAAAGAACTGAAGTCACAGTATTTGGTGCAATGTTCCAACATTACGAGGTGGGCGGACGAAATAAATGCTGCAAAAGCTGTACAGGTAACAAATGTTTATGCTATGAGAAGGTTTAGGGATAGAATTTATTAAGGTTTTGTGTAAATTTGTTGAAATATGACGATGATTGAAGATGTCGGCAAAAATGATTCCGACTGGAAGCTTTATTGGCGCGCGCCGCGTAGACTAATAAAGTTATATGAAAACAATGTATTACAGAATTATTGCTCTTAAAAGATCTTCCTATTAAACTGTAGCAACGCTATATATATTTAGAGGCTATTTTTGGCTCAGTTTGTAGTGACCCTACTTGCTGTGCCAGCGGTCGCGGTTCGAGTTCCAACATGATTGTTGTCTTACGGTGAAGGACAACATCGTGAGGAAACCTGCATGTCTGAGAGAACCTAGCAAGTTGTCTTCAGACATGCTTAGTCTGCGTGGTGAACTATGTTCTGATCCCACTCGCATTGAGGAAAAACCTGTGCCGAGCAGTGGGACGTTACAAAGGGCTGCATACTTATAGATATAGAGTTTTTAGTTTATGAGATACAACAGTGTTGTGGAATGTTCATAGGAAGCTGTCAAGCAGTGGGGCGGTTCTGTCGACAGACCGCCGGCGCCGCAGTGCGCGCTGGGCGTGCCGCAGTTCGGCAGCTTGGTGTCACCTATTGGGTAAGTTCTTTACCGATTTCGAATGGGGGGTATATAGTTATGTTGGATCAACATCCCCCTCGATATATCATTAGCGGGGTTTCGGTTGGGTTTTAGTGGGTAGTATTAGCCTTTCTACCCGGTGAGTCCCATATAGAAGTAAACGCTTGATCATCATTACACGAATCTACACTATTATTATAAAGAAGTAAAATTTGTAAGCGGCCGGGGAGTAAAACGTGGCATTTGTCCCATTATGTTACCTATATCTTCGCCAAATATCATCGAAATCAGCTCAACGATTTAAGTTTAAAATGTCAAAGCGATGGACAGAGTTATATTAATATCAGTTTTTTCAATTTTATACGCGAAGTGTTTTTTTTTGGTTTTACTTCAGTCTACAGTAAATGATAAATTAAATATTTAACTTTATCATAAGATGATTTGATAAAATTGATAAATAAAGCTAATTGTGTTCAATTCAATTCAATTATCTTGTTAATGGCTTCAAAGCGTGCCAGTTGAGCACAGATGACTTCACCAGTGTCACATGGAAATAGTTAAAATTTGTTTTTTAATACCATGACAGTTGATAATTTAGAACGAGTAATCATAATTCTCAATTAAAATAACAAAGGGGATACATACAATGAATTTGACATTTTAAATATATGTAATATTTTCAGATATTTTTTCGCGAAATAAGTTAATAATGGTGCCATATTCAATTATGAAACTCATTAATATCATAATAAATGTTCAAAATTAAAACTAACAGGTATTGTAAGGTAGATACCATTTTTGGTTTTTTTTTAAATCATTTTGCAATTTTGTAGATAGGTGCTGTGGTCTGTAACAAGTATATAAATGAAATTTGAGACGTCTAAAACTTTAATCTCTCACGTGATCATGTGCGTTGTAAAGCAATCGAAACCAAAAATTAAAATAAATTCTCGAAAAATTCCCGAAAAGATAGTTTTTATATAAAATAAAATAACAATATTTAATATTGAATACCGTATGGATGTATTCACAGATCTCCAGACGAATCTCCAGACGCGACAGTGACAGCAGAGGAAATAGAACTGGCAAAGGAAAACTGGCTGAATGGCCTCAAGAATCTACAGGAACCGCTCGTGCAGGAAAAAGTTATGTGAGTATTGAGAGTGACTGATAAATAAATCATATGAAAAACGTAACATGTAAAAAAAATCAAGTCTCGCAACGCACTTCTACCGCAAAAAGTTTTGGGATGGATTTATTCAGTACCTATATATGGAAGCATCTATCCGACAATTTTGTTATAACTTGCTATATAATTAGTTACAACAACGTTTTATACTGACCGTATTTATTTAGATATGTTTATCTATACGTAAAATAAAATTGTAACTAAGCCGAACCTGTACATTAAATATTTTTTGGGAAATCTTATTGAAGTAAACATTATTATCGATACAGAGACAGAATCTATAGTTTTTAGAATTTTTGTCTGTCTGTCTGTCTCTGTTACTGCATCACAGAAATACCAGTGAAGGGATTTTAATGAAATTCGGTATGGTGATAGCTGCTTATCGGTGTCAACATATAGGATACTTTTTACCGCGGGAAAATGTCTCATTTTCTGAGAAAAAATACAAAAACTGCATTGTAAGAGTATACCAATATGTAAAACCTAAGCCTAACCTAATTTGGTTTTTGGTCATCTGAACGCGGGCGGAGCCGCGGGTAGTGCTAGTTTCTTTAATAAATATAATGACTTGGCCATCGGACGGTAAGAATCAGAAGACATAAGAATCTACTATTTTGAATAGTTCTAATTGTACATACCGCTAGTGGGTCAAATTTATGTATACACAAACACAAATAATGCGCTCAGAGCATCGATATTAGGTAATTTTTTTAATTTTAGTCGAGCAATAAATTAATAATATGCAAAGCCAATCATAAAAGTTGTATAAGGTTATATACCTAACGTTTTAACATTTAGTACAGATTTCTCCAAGATGAGATATTCGCCTGCAGTAAAAAGTTTCCTATATGTTGATCCGGATAATCAGCTATCATCATACTCCAGTGGTTTTTCTGTGATGTGTTCCCAGACAGACAGACAGAAATTTTATAAACTACATTTTGCTGGCCCCTGTATTGATAACCATGACTATTTCAATAAGATTTTCCAAAAAATATTTTATGTACAGATTCGGCTCAGTTAGAAATTTATTAAAGTGAAAACTTGTATAGACAGGTTTGTTTGTATGGGGAGTAAATTCACGTAAGTCACGTGACACGTTAACGTTAACACTCAAAGTGCCGATAGATGTCGACACCAGATAAATGTGAACAGTTTTAATTTACAAATTTTAATTTAAGATCAAACAATTAATTTGAATATCCAAAAATAACAACTGTTTGTTTACAGTTTTAAGTTTTCACTTATGTCGGCAGTTCTCGTGATTACTTTTTTATAATTGTATATTACATGTATAGATAGATGTATTAATAAAAAAAATTGTGAGTAAAGTGTGTGTGTGTGTGTGTAAATGTAATAAATACGCGCAGATCGGTACTAATATGTTATTTTGTATCGCAGATTACCGATCAAAGGCAAGAAGAACGTGCTCATTACGTCCGCGCTGCCGTACGTCAACAACGTGCCTCACTTGGGCAACATCATCGGCTGTGTGCTGTCTGCTGATATATTTGCTAGGTGAGTTGGGAAAGGCCTTTGATAAATTAATATATGTATAACTTTCCTCGGTTTAACGTCACATGTCGACGACACTTTTTGAAGAGATATTTGTTAGGAAATGTGTATGTATGTATGTTTTTTTATATGAATGTATAAATATGATAACTGTTAGATTTGGACCTGTTTTGTACAATTGTTTATTGAAGTGAAACTTCTTTAGAATCGGTGTGATTTGCAACTCGATGAAACGGAAATGCGATACTAAAAAGAGACAAATAAATAAATATGTTGAGACATTAACACACAGCACCATATAGTTGAATGAATGCCCCCAGCGGGACTCGAACCCGCGACCGCTGGCACAGCAAGTAGGGTCACTACAAACTGAGTCAAACAAATACAAATTAAATATATAGAATTAAGCCGGCGAGAGAATGAGATAGAACACATGGCCATGATGCCATGGTAACCGTTGTTATTGTCTGACAAATATGTAATACTATATTCTTTCCGTATATGATATTCATATGACTTATTTAATTATTGGTTTCTTTTAATTTAATTGCGTTATTCACCAAGCAAGTTTTACTTCAACCGCGCGTAAAGATTACACGCATCCATTTTTTTGTTTCACTTACTGTATATCACGTTGCTATGTAAAAAATAAAAACAAAAAAAAAGTAATTTTAAGGGTTGTTTCTCAGATATTGTCGAATGTGCGACTACAACACGCTATTCATCTGCGGCACGGACGAGTACGGCACTGCCACCGAGACCAAGGTGAGTCGCAAGCTTTCACTGAACTGACTGACTGACTCACTCACTTCAGACATGGAGGAGGTACTCCATTTGTTTTGACTGAACTAACTTACTGAAATACTTCAAAAAATTCAAGAGGTACTCCATTTGGTTGTGTTTTTTTGTGTTTTTCTTGTGTAGTTTTGTTTGATCGGTGGTCTAAAGAAAAAATCCATCTTTGCCAGTAGAATAATTATTTTTGAAGTGGTTTGTGTTTTGCAGAAAAACCACTATCTTATATAATAATAATAATTGAATCTTATTCTATCACTAGTTCCATTCCATACAAGGCTTGTGTTATGGATACCAGATAGTTGATACACTATACATGTGTAGTTTTAAATACACACATATTATAAATATAACCCATGGCTGGAGTACAAACATTCGTGCTCATCACACAAATGAATGCCCCCAGCGGGACTCGAACCCGCGACCGTTGACACAGAAAGTAGGGATACTATTAACTGAGCCAAACGTATCGTTAATATGGATATGGGCGATAATTATGAAAAAAATATAGGAATTTAATCAGTACTTTCAGAGATTATGTAGGGACATTCAAACTTACAAACTTTACCTCTTTATAATATCAGTGCAGATATAAAAATGAGGAGTAATTGTAAAGAATCTATTACATTTCCAACTATACCAGGCGTTAGAGGAGGGTGTGACGCCGAGACAGATCTGCGACAAGTACTTCGAGCTCCACAACGGGGTGTATCGCTGGTTCGATATCGGCTTCGACTACTTCGGACGCACTAGCACCAAGGAGCAGACCGAGTGAGAACTGTTTGTTTTGTTAACATAAACTAAGGAATAATATAGAGTAGAGTGTTATAGAACTTAATATGAAGTCAAACAGACAAGCATTTCATTCGTTTCTTTCATTCATTTCATTCTTCTGTAGTGAGTTTTCGAAGAACTTGTATTAGAAAAATACAACAGGGTAAACGGAATATTCCGTTAAAAAGACATTCACTATAAAAAAAATTTGAAAAAAGGGAGGTGAAGAAACACAACAAAAAAACTAAAAAAAAACGTACAACAAAGTTAGAAAGTACGCCCGGTTGTTCGAAACTTCAAAACGTAGCTTTCAAAAATATTAAAAGGCGACTAAGTATTTTTTCTAATGTAATATAATTAATTTAGATGAAATTTGGTAATAGGATAGTTTGAGACCCTGGAAAGGACATATGATAGTTTTTATCCAGGAAATTATCCCTTAAGTGGGTGAAAATGGGAATGAAAGTTTGTATGGGGAATTAACCTTGGGACGAACCTGAGCGAAGCAAAGGTGAGTCACTAGTAATCCCATAAATATTACAAATGTATGGTTTCTGTAGGATTGATTTGTTTCTGTTTCTGACTACGGCCTAACCCCATAGAATATAAATTATTATTATTATCAATTTCACAAAAACAAAATAATACTTCACTATCTATTACAAATTTATTTTTACACTTACTTGCTACATCCCATTCGCATTGACTCATTGTACTAAGATGTATACTTTTACTATCCATATTTTCATAATATTTTTTTTTATTATTTCATCTTAATTTCATTACTTCGTTCAGTTCATTCGTTTCGTTCATTCATTTCATTCACTTCATTCATGTATTTCATTCGCGTCAATGTTTCGTGATGCGTGCAACGCAAATAGTTTTAGTTAATAGAGGGTACGTGTAAAATATGGCCAATGAGTGGGACCGGGGAAACCCATCAGTATTGTAGGACAATGTGGCCATTAAATTACGCTAAAATAATTATAATTAATAAATTCATAATATATATTTTATATTATTGAATTATATTATTATATTAGCGAATATATAAAAACTTTCTTAGATTTACTCGGATATTTGACATTTTAAATAAAAGTAACTTTTTGTTTTTTTTTTCGAATATACGCGTAAGTCTAAGAAAGTTTTAACATTTTATTTAGAGTCTGTTTTAGTCAATAAATATTTATTTTAGGATAGCACAGAAAATGTTTTTGAAATTGTACGCGAACGGCTTCGTGAGTGAGCAGTCTGTGGAGCAACTGTACTGCGACAAGTGCGAGAGGTTCCTGGCTGACAGGTTGGTTCTAACACTGATATTGTTAATGTGAATGTTTGTCTCTCTTTATCTCTCCTTCTATCTCCCTCTCTCTCTCTCCCTTCTCTCTGTGTGTATGTGTGTGTTTGTTACCCCTTCAAGCTGAAACGGCTGAGCTGATTTGGATGGAATTTAGTAGCTGAAGTAACATAAGGTATGCTCAGTGGCGTAACCAGCCTTTTTGGGTGTCATTGCAAAAAAACATGGAAGAGGCCTCTTTGCTTTTCTATACTAATATTATAAAGACGTAGACTTTGTTTGTTTGTTTGAACGCGCTAATCTCAATAACTACTAATACGACTTGAAACATTCTATTTGCATAAGATAGCCCGTTTATTGAGGAAGGCTATAGGCTATATATCATCCGGCAAAATGGATGGTTCCCGTGGGATAGATTTATTTTTGTCTAGGGACGAACCCGAAGCGAAAATGAGTCTGTAGTATATAATATCATTCGCAGGTTCGTAGAAGGCACGTGTCCTCAGCCCGGCTGTTTGTATGACAGTGCTCGCGGCGATCAGTGCGATAAGTGCGGCAAGTTGGTGAACGCCATAGAGCTGATACAGCCCAAGTGTAAAGTGTGCTCGCACACGCCCTCTGTGCGGCCCAGTGTGCAGCTGTTCATTGAGCTGGGACAGGTTTGTATTGTGTCTTATTTGGTCTGGTGGGGCATCATTAACATCAAGAATAAAAAAAGAATAAATCAAGAAACACAGGGAGGCGGTCCACTTCGGTGGTTGTGCCATGTGCTGTAGTACAATGTGCAGAAGTACCAGACTCCTCTAATAGCAGATTGGACCTTTGAAATATATTGATTATTGCATATTGCTCAAGTAAATTGATTTGAGTTTGGTTCTCAGCTGAAATGTCTATCGAGTTTGGCAGTTTCCTCATTTGATAATTTCCTACAGATATTTAGTTTTGGTTTAAAAAATTTGTTACAATTGGGAAAATTTATAGAAGTTGGCATTGGCTGTACACCGCCATTTAGGTCTTTTTTGGGCTCGGTATGGTGTTATTAGACTCAAATAAATAAAAAAATATGAAGAATCTGGTGGCTTAAGTGGTCCCACTTCTGAGGTATTTCGGAATCGTATAATATATTTTGTTGCTGGTATTTTTCTTGAAAGGTTTCGGGTTTGAGTCTTGGGTTGAGTTTAAATGGGAATTTCTTTTATGAAATTTTCAGTAGTAGTTAGGGTGTTGGTGGTGTCATACCTGCGCCTGCATCTCGAAAAGTATATCTTCGTGCTTCGGCTATCACGTCTCGCGTCGCTCTTGCGCCTTAATTCTCACCGGCCGCGTCTCGTGTCGTCCCGCCGCAGTATGAGAGTGACAGGAACAAAGAGTGCACGTTGTTTCTGCGCCATACTATATAACATCCCTTGCGCTAGTTGGTTTCTGTGAGATTGGCCGCCTAGGTCAAAATCTTGAGGTTTTGAGGATATTCATTTTATGTTCATTTCATTCCCCCCGTGCAGCTGGAGGGGTCGCTGCGCTCGTGGGCGGGCGTCGCGGCGGCTGGGTGGTCTGCGCCGGCGCGCGCTGTGGGCCGCACGTGGCTGCGCGAGCCGCTGCGCGCGCGTGCCGTCACGCGTGATCTGCGCTGGGGAGTGCCCGTGCCGCTGCAGCGGTACAAGGACAAGGTGAGAGGGTGGGAAGGGGGTTTGGGGTTTGGTTGCGACCAGATAGCACTCGCACAACACCAGAAACATGCGCAAAATTAAACTGCCTAACACTCGAACTAAATGTAGAATAAAACCTATTACATTTAAAGAAGCACAGGTGTACAATTCTTTGATCTACTTCTTCTTTTCCCAGTGTCTCTAGATCTTCATACCAAACATCTAAATCGGTTCAACGGTTAAGGCGCGAAAAGGAAACAGGCAAACAGACATAGTTACTTTCACATTTATAATATATATATGAGTATGGATTAATTCTAACCTAAATTAAGCAAACTAACAGTGTACGTGTTAATATAAAGGTATTCTACGTGTGGTTCGATGCCCCCATTGGCTACTGCAGCATCACGCAGGCCGCCACCAACGACTACGAGAAGTGGTGGAAGAAGAACAAGGACTACGATGTGAGTATACCCCGTTAGCCCAGTAGTAAGGCCTAAGAAACAGGAAAGCAAGTTCGAATCCCGGGTCTATGAAGAAGAGTATAAGACCGCTGTATATCATTCGAAACGTCTGGATTCAAAAATCAAATCTCAAATAGTTTTATTCAGGGCTCGGAAACTCATTAAATTTTTAAATCGATTTTATTAACTGACTCCAAACCGGAAGGCTTTCCGTTTACGTTTCTTAACCGGTTAAATCCCGGAGAACGGTTTTTGACGAATTTAGATTCCACTATGAAAATTAACCGGTTAAAATTAGTTTTCGTGCGTTAACATTCAACAAATCTTTGCGAATGATGAATCGCTTAGTCGAAGGACACGTGTAAGTTTTTTACTTATGAATGAATTAACCGGACTATATCGGTATCAAAATTGAAATTTAACCTTTCCCCAACAAACCTTTATATTTCGGATACCTAAACCGTTCGTTTTAACCGGTTAATGAACGAGCGATGAATTAATCATTAAATTAACAAATTATAATTTTTTAAACCGGTTTCGAGCCCTAGTTTTATTTAGAAAGGCAGTTTTGAACAGTAAGTTGTTTTCCATTCGCAGGTGAAGTTGTACCAGTTCATGGCCAAAGACAACGTGCCCTTCCACGTGGTGATGTTCCCGGCGACCGTCATCGGCGTCAACGAGGGTCACATCCTCGTCGACCACGTGTACGCCACCGGTGAGTTGTACCTAGTGTGCCTTACTTATTACTGGCTTACCTGATGATGATGTTCTGTTGACCGATTCCGGCGACGGCGGCCAATCTCATTGAGACTAGCCAACTGCGCAGGAGACACTATAGTGCAGCGCGTGAGAGGGAGAGCGCAGACACAAGGGCACTCTCTGTCCCTGTCACTCTCATACTCCGGTGGGACGACCACTCGACATGTCGAGGCACGGGGGTGAAACACCGCCAACTTCCCAACTCCAGGCTGTTACTGAGGCTTACTAAACAGAAAAACTCAATAACTAAACTTGGCCCGACCCGGGACTCGAACCCAGGACCTCCGGGTGTGCAGCCGTACATGCTAGCCACTACACCACCGAGGCAGTTGACTGGCTTACCTAGTCATATTGTGTGTGTGTGTCATAGTTGTTTACTACTGACTTAGCAGAGTGTGTCATATTTATTTACTGCTGGCTTACCTAATAATATGCCATAATTGTTTACTACTGGCTTACCCAAGTATTTATGGGGAGGATTTAATGTCATCCAAATTCGTTCAGCCGTTTCAGCGTGAGAGCGTGATAAACATACATACATACATACATATTTTCACATTTATGAAGGTAGCCAGATTTTACGAGGCCATCATCAGATTTTGCTTTTTGGATTATAAAATCAGATGACTTTACAATTTAATTTGTTATAATTATTATTATTTTAAGTAAAATACATATTTACACAAGTATAGTAAAGCAAATGTGTATTAAAGGAATGAAGCATTATAATATTTTTTCCCAGAATATTTAAATTACGAAGATGGCAAGTTCTCTAAGTCTAGAGGCGTGGGCGTGTTCGGTACAGACGCACAGGTAAGTACTAAAATATTATATATAAATACATACAGATAAATAAAATTGAAGTGTCTGTTTGTTATGTTAAAATAAACAGCTATTTACTTAATGCATATGAAATTATATACGGTTCTTATAAGAAAAACACAATTTTTAACATTTTTTTTTTCTATCTGTCTGTTTATTCCGGTTAATCTCCTAAACGGCTGGACCGATTTTGAAGAGACTTACACTGGCAGATAACTGATGTTATAAGGAATAACTTAGGCTACTTTTATTTTATAAAAAGAAATAAGGTTCCGCTCAAATAATTTAAAACATAAGTAGGGATGCACCCGAGCGAAGCGAGATTAATTCGCTAGTATATAGTAAAATTAAAATATATTTAACCGATTTCGAGAAGAAGAGGGTGCTTAACCTGTATGTTCTATGAGTATATCAGAATTGGATCGCAGACTGATTTTCAACAGTTATTTTTTATGATAATATAATGATCTTATATAATTTTAAAATAATTTCAGCTTTTATGGGTGGAATAAATAGTTTTGAGTGTTTTGAAGTTGTTATATATTTTTTATTAAAAAAGTATAGTTGTATTTTTACCAACTGCGCAGACGATAGTGTAGTGGTATTGTTTTGGTCCGAACGAAGGTCTTGAACCCAAAAACTGTTTTAAAATTAACTTTTTTCAACAATTTAACTTTAAATAAAAAATTTTAAATAAAAATATTCGCCTCGCTCTAGGATGTGGATAGTATCATAAATAAATAATAAATAAAATTAAAATATTTTATTCCTCAACCAAATGTTTCAAAATTACAAACAAGATTGAAATAGCCTTTTAAGTCTAAAAGTACTCACTAAAGTAAGTGTAAAAAACACATGTAACATCATAAGTAATTTGTTATAGCAAATTAAGTTTTACATTAAATCGGTTATCATTGAATCAGTTGTTTTTAACTTCTCAAGCAGAAACATATGTGTACAATATCATGATATATTGCAGGAGACAGGCATCCCGTCAGACGTGTGGCGGTTCTACCTGGCCAGCATCAGGCCCGAGACCTCGGACTCCAGCTTCAGCTGGGCCGAGCTGGGCACCAGGTGAGGAGTTGTTCTGATACCATATTAGTATATCTGGTTGGGTCTCACGTTGGATAAATACATAATAATTGTATTACAAAATTGTATACAACAATTATTCAAAAATAGCTACTGTTGAGTTTCTCTCGGGCTCTTCTCAGCAGAAATGCCTTCCGAGCCGGTGGTGGATTCCTTACGGACTTACATACTGAAATTTGATTTAAATTTAAAATGTAAAATTGACGATAAATATGTCAGGACATAAATATGTCAGGACATTAACACACAGCACCATCTAGTTCCATGGTAAGCTACGAGGCTTGCGTTATGGATAGCAGACAGTTGATACATTATACATATATATTATATAACTTTAAATACATACATATTATAAATATAAACACTCATGACTGGAGTAAAAACATTCGTGCTCATCACACAAACAAATGGCCCCAGCGGGACTCGAACCCGCGACCGCTGGCACAGCAAGTAGGGTCACTACAAACTGAGCCAAACGTGTCGACGATACAAAAGTGCTTGTAAAAGTCTATTTGAATTAAGTATATTTTGATTTGATTTCACCAACACTGCATGTAAACAAATACATATATACATAATAATACTGTCCTCAACGTTACGCTGTTAGTTTTTTAAACGTATTCATTGTTTTTTTATTTCAAGTTTGTTAGTTTAACGGTCGCTAACTTCACTATGCTTTTGACCAACTTTAAAAAGGAAGTGTGTCTCAATTTCAAGTTTTTTTTGTGGTTATTGTATTTGGTCACGAGATATTTTTGCTTATTTTAAATTGATATTTTTAATAATTTCTTTAATGAATAACTGGATAAATAATTATAAATAATATATTTTTTTATTCGTTACCGTGAGGGAAAGTAACAAACATACACATACAAACTTTCAATTTTTGTTAAAACAATAAATCTGATAATTTAATCGATTTAAATTTAATATTACTTCAACAGAACCCTCAAGTACACGAATCAGACTCGCACTTGTCCATTTTATATTTATTTAACATGCATTTATTTACAGGAACAACTCGGAACTCCTAAACAATTTGGGCAACTTCTGTCATCGCTCTCTGAGTTTCTGCGCGAACACTTTCAAAGGGATTGTGCCTGAGATGAATTTAACTGCAAGCGATTATGAGCTTATCGCTCTTGTCAATAGGGAGGTTGTTGGTATGTACATTTCTACGTGGGTATACTGTGTTAATATACCAAAGCTTGCAATCGGTTTTGGAATTACCGGTTAATATTGTTTATAAAACCGTTTTATTTCGTTAAATGATTAACGTTTTTGTCTATAGTAATAATATAAAGAGGTAAAGTTTGTGAGTTTGTGACGTTGTCGGGGGTTTTCTCTGGATCTACTGATTTCAATGAAATTTGATAAGAAGATAGTTTGAGACCCTGAGTAGGATATAGGATACTTTTTATCCCGGAAATCATCCCTAAAGGGAAGCAAGCTAGGTGCGTTCCTAGTATTAGATAATAATAACTGAAACTATCAACCCACAGCGTACGTGCAGCATATGGAGAAGGGTCGTCTCCGGGAGGCCCTTCGTCATGTGCTGAGCATCTCCAGGCTTGGAAACCAACACATGCAGGCCACTCAGCCCTGGGTGCTGCTCAAGAGCGGGGAGGAGGATAGGTATTTATTTATTTATGTACCAAAATAAATACATATTATAAAATATAATAGAACAGATACCACGTGTGCAAAGAATGACTTATCTTTAAGAGATCTCTACCAGAAACCATCGAGCGTGAGAAATAATAAATAATAATAATGAGGTGCGGTGTAGGTACAAACTACAAACATCTATTATTATATACAAACATACATACATACATACATACATACATACATACATACATACATACATACATACATACATACAAACATACATACATACATACATATACTTCAAGAAGTATATTATATAATAAGGAAATTATGTGGAGTGACTTAGATAAAATTCTTATTGTTATTTATGATCTCATAGGGAAGGGACTTTCAGAGTTTTGCTGCTTATACTGTGAAGGATTTCTCAAAAAAAATGCTGTAAGATGATATGTAAGGTTTTATAGCCTAAAACAGGGGTATATGTGAAAGAAAAAATATATATAAAAAATCGTTTAGTGCCACGGGACAGAGGGCAGGGACAAAGTTCTTATCGCTGTCCTTCCCCATACATTAGCTCATACACATCGTCACGAGTATCAGGGTAGGATACACATTGAACATAGATTAAAATAAAAGAAATAAATCTAGTATAAAACAAACATGTGTGTGTACTGTATGTACACACGTAAGAAGTTGTACTTGTTTGTCGTAACAGAACAAAAATAGCCAAAGATTTCATCCCGTATGTCACAACTCTCTGTTTGTAAAAGGAATTCAAAAAAAGGTCAAATTTGCTTTATAAATAAAAAAAAACTATACTAATTGAACATTTTTTTTTAATACATATTTTTTTAAAACAAACGATGATTACCAAGACTTTTCCAAACCAATTCAAATGGACAGAACTTTTTTAATTTTTAGGGTGAAAGGTGCAACAGCAATAGGGCTCTGCTGCCAGCTGGTAGCGCTCCTATGTGCCCTACTAGCGCCCTACATCCCTAGTGCGGTGCGGCGGCTTCGGGAACAGTTAAATGTGAAGCAAATTGACATGAGGATAAACCCTAAGTGAGTAAACTTTTGCTTTTCAAAGGATGAAATAAATAAAAATGCATTTTTGTTTGTTATAATAATAATGCACACATGTCATGGCAGTCAAGGTGAACTCAAGACCTAAAAACCTATTTATTAACCTCTATTTATTAACGGTTACTATAGAATAGATGGGCTACATATTATATATACATAGATATGATGAGTTGTTGTGGGTTGTGTTGTAACTTGTTTTCCCGTGGGAATGAGATAATCTCCCGCTGTAAAAAGTAGCCTATGTCATTCTATCCCTTTCCAACTATCTCCACACAATAACGCTAATCCGTCACTCTGTTTCGACGTGAAAGAAGGACAAACAGACAAACAAAAAAGTGTCACATTAATAATATTGTCAGGAGGACGTTATTAGGGTTCCGTACCCAAAGGGTAAAACGGGACTCTATTACTAAGACTCCGTTGACCGTCTGTCACCAGGCTGTATCTCATGAACCGTGATAGTTAGACAGTTGAAATTTTCACAGAAAATTGAATTATATATTCACATTAAAAATTATATTAAAATAAAACAAATATTTAAGTGGGCCTCCCATGCAACAAACGTGATTTTTTTTCCGTTTCTATATATAATGCTACGGAACCGTTCGTGCGCGAGTTCGACTCGCACTTGGCCGCACTTTTTGTACAATACCTTTGTTAATGCTACCCTTTTATTTGGGAATACCAAGTGAAATAAATGCTAATTTACTGTTGTCAATATTAGTTTATTATTGTTTTAGGAAAACACCATAATATTAATTGCTGATTAATTTAACTTGAACTTTTAATTCTCTTTTACACACACAACAGAACTACAGACTACGGAGACTTATACCACAGACAATATAACTAATAATAACATGTAAACAGATAATAGACGAAATTAAACATTTAACAACCTTTTTATCTCCACACAGCAATCCTACCCTGATCCAGTACCTACCCCCCGGCCACAGGGTTGGTAAGCCGGAGCCCCTCTTCAGCAAGCTGGAGCCCTCGCTGCTGGAGAGCCTGAGGGCCAAGTATGCTGGCAGTCAGCAGGACAGGGAGAGACGGGTGAGTACACTAGCTCATTCACTCATTCATATATACTAATATTATAAAGAGGTAAAGTTTGTGACGTTGTTGTTGAGGGGGAGAGGGGGGGGGGGTTGTAATCTCTAGAACGACTGACCGATTTAGATGAAATTATGTAATATAGTTTGAGATACTGGGAAGGACATAGGATAGTTTTTATCCCGAAAGGGATTAAGGGGGTGAAAATAGGGATGAAATTTTGTATGGGTAAACAAGCTAAGGACGAACCCGAGCGAAGTGAAATTATGAGCGTAGGTTTTTTAGATTCACCGACAGCCAAAAAGCGACATGATGAAGTTAGCTGTATTCCCTTTTAGAAACAGAGAGTAGTGACATACGGGATGAAATCTTTAGCTATTTTTGTTCTGTTACGCCAAAGAAGTATAACTTCTTACTTGCGGACATACAGTACACACATACACGAATTTTTATTTTATTTTCTTTCCCCTTTGAAGGCAAACGGTGCAGCGAAAGCGTCAGTGCCCACCGTGTCAGAAATTGAAGCCGCCATCACAGCACAGGTATTTATAAAGGTTTATAAAATAACTATAGTCTTATTTTTAATTCCAATAATATATTAATAAATTAAACTTTTAAGATATCTGAAATGTCAAAAAATGACAGCTGTCATTGTTTGACAATTCAGATATCATAAACCTTTTCTGCTTTGAATTTTTTTAATATAAAATAACAAAAAAATATGAGACAGAATTAGATCAAGTAAACTATAATTGTATGACATTGTAAATACTCTTTGCTTTGTGCATTCATCGCACACTAACTATAATGTAAATTTTTCGTGGTTAAATGAAAAAAAAACTGAGTAAAACAGAATATTTCTTAAATGTAAATATTTATCACTCATATCATCATTGTCGTCATCATCATCCACTCGGATTATAAGAATCACACACACACTATCCATCAGATCATTAAGAGGGCACATTTTATCCTCTTCTTTAATAATATGGTTTATGCATTCTTGCCATTTTTGCCCTTTAATACCAAGGTTTCACTTCCGCCATCTTAAAGTTTTATTATTTGGCACCTCGTTATATTGGCACTTACAAGAAGCAAAGATTTTACAAAAAAAGAGGTTTTCCTAAAAAAGGCTTGGAACCTATGGATTATTGGCCAGGGATTCCTCCTGTAATAGAAAAATAATTTCCTTAATAATTATTGTAACTTCAGTAATATTATGATAATAAAAAAAAATACTACTTTACAGTTATCAATAATTTTTTAAGTCTTAGTTTTTCTATTTGAAACCTTAAATAGAGAACCTCGATCACCCAAGAAAGGTTTATATTTTTATTTTGCCAAAATGCTTTCCGTTTTAAGTGACAATGTTTCAAAGTTGACAACACTTCTGAAATGTCAGAATTCCGTCGAATTTAAAATTATAAATGCGAAAGTTTGGATGGATGTTTGTTACTCAATCACGCCAGAACTGCTGAACGGATCTGGATGAAATTTGACACAGAGATAGATTATAGTCTGGAATAGCACTTAGGCTACTTTTTATCACGGAAAAATGTATGGTTCCCGAGGGATAGATTTGTTTTTGTTTTTCAAAAAGCAAGTGATCAAATATCTATTCCATAATAACCGTTAGAATAAATTCGGTCAAGTTCGAGTACATGTAATTTTTATTAATGAAAACTTTTACTCTATGTATGTAGTGTAGTGTATTAACTTCGATGATCGATTACGGACTTTCAAAAAATGTTTCTTGTATTTTTATTTATTTTTATTATTTGTGTTGTAGCGGTAATATAAATATATATTCTGTGAAAATTTCAACTCTCTACCTATTACGGTTTATGAGATACAGCTCTCTGACAGACGGACGTATAGCGGAGGCTTAATAATAGGGTTCCGTTGGCACTCTTCGAGTACCGAACCCTAAAAATATAATTCTGTTTCAGGGTGAAAAAGTGCGACAATTGAAAGCGACAACGAAAGACAAAACAGTATGGAAGCCCGAAGTAGATAAATTACTCGCATTGAAAAAACAACTCGCAGAGGCTCAGAAAAACAATGCTACCAGCAATAATAGTAATAATGATGTTGCCAGTTTGGAGAAAGCTATCGCTGAACAGGTAATTTTTCTAGGCTTGTATGTATGTATGTATTCAGCCCTTTTTAATGTCCCACTGCTGGGCGTGGGCCTCCCTTCTGTATAAAGAGGATCAGGCCATAGTCCACCACGCCAAGTGCGGGCGGACTGAGCATGTCTGCAGACAACTTGCTAGCTTCTCTCAGACATGCAGGTTTTATCACGATGTTTTTCTTCACCGTAAGGCAAGTGGTAATCATGTTGGAAATGATTCGCACATGAGAATATCAGAGGTGCGAGACCCGGGATTTGAACCCGCTTCACTCGGTCTCCCAAGCGAGCGCGTCAGCACCGGACCGGTACTCGCACTCTCACTGTACTGTCAATATGACAGTTGTGTCACATACATTTTTAATAATCAAAAAACAGAATGTTGCCATCATTGCCACCGTATTTATATAAATCAAAATTAATAAATAATTATTATTTAACACATTATTATTGCCTCTTCAATTCATTTATTTTAATTCATTATAATAAATACAGATATTTTAAATTAAAAGATGTAAAATTATGATGACTATGCTAACACTTATAAGGAATACACAACTTTTAAATTTTTTGTCTGTCTATCTATTTGTTCCGGAAAATCTCTGAAACGGCTGGACTGATTTTGACGGGACTTTCACTGGAAGATAGCTGATGTTATAGGGAGTAACATAGGCCACTTTTATATTAGAAAAAGAAAATTAAAACGTACCTAGAGACGTACCCGAGCGAAACGAGGGTGAGTCGCTAGTTGATATGTAACGTTAGATATTACTACTCAGTGGCTGTAGATCCGGAGGTCCTAGGTTCGAGTTCCGAGTTGAACGAAATAAACGTATTAAGTTTCCAATTAAAAATGAATATTTCCACTTTCAGGGCGAGAAAGTAAGACAACTAAAAGCATCGAAAAAGGACAAAAGCGTATGGCAACCCGAGGTGAATAAACTTCTTGCGCTAAAGAAGCAGTTAGCCAGTGTTCCCAGCTCTGCCGGCGCTACGTCCGGTGACAGTGTTGCCAGCCTGGAGAAAGCGATAGCTGAACAGGTTAGACAGACGAACAGGCAGACAGACGGACTGAAGGACTGATAGATAGATGCTTAAGAAATTCTTAATCTTTAAAATTTGTAAGCATTCATAGATAAAAAAAGTATGTACTAGATACACAATCCCGTGCAAAAGTTCTCTTACAACTGTCACTAGTTGTTTTTAGGTAATTATTCTGGTTGTAATAAATGTAAAACAATGTAAATTGAACCTTAAATGCAATGCGTAAAGTTGTTTTTACAAAAAAAAGCGCGCTCAAATATTCAAACGAGCGCTCATTCGGTGATGACATTTTTTGTCACTGATTGTTCTTTTGATCGATGTTAGAAAATGTTGCAAAGTATAGATATAAATATATAAATGAGAATGTTGTGTGTATGTTTGTCACTTCTTCTAGCTGTAACGGCTGGACGGATTTGGATGAAATTTGGTACACCAGATAGACTATGAGCCAGAGTAACACATAGACTAATGTTAGTTATAAATTTTGCCAAATGATGGCGTTTATGAATACTTTGAGACATTGACACACAGCGCCATCTAGCTACGAGGCTTGTGTTATGGATACCAGATAGTTGATACACTGCACATATAACTTTATATATATATATATATATATATATATATATATGTTATAAATATAAACACTCATGTCTGGAGTACAAACATTCGTGCTCATCACATAAATTAATGACCCCTAGCGAGACTCGAATCCGCGACCGCTGACACAACAAGTACCAGGTCACTACAAATTGAACCAAACCTGTCGTCAACATATTATATTATATGTTTTTTTTTCACCTCCAGGGCGAAAAAGTGAGGAAACTAAAGGCATCAACGAAAGACAAGGCGGTGTGGACGCCCGAGGTGAACATACTGCTCGATCTCAAGACGCGGCTCGCGCTGTTGCAGAACAACTAATAATTTATGTATATTTAAATATTTCAAATTCCAATAAAATATGAATTTAAGCGACATTTTGTTTTTTTTTGGGTTCACGTCAAACTTTTGGTTCCTATCATTAAAATACTTACATTCCATTGTAGCTGTAACAATGAAGCTTCGTTATTAACACAGTAAAATACTCGGCCTTCTTATTTTTTCCTCTCAAGACGACAAAGTCAGAAAACTCAAACTAGTATTTTATATCAGAATGACAACATAAAGAATGAAATAATTTTACAATAATATATATATATAAATATTATTTTTATATAATTAATAATTTATATTACTTTTAGTATTACAAATATAAGCAAAGTTTAGATGGATGGATGCTTGTTACTCAACCACGATACTCGATACACTCCTCGCTAATAGATTTTAAGAAGCGTGTTTTGTGGTTGGCTTTTTTCTAAACCAGCTATACTTAACCTGCGGCCCGCCGGCCCTTTTCTTATTGGCCCATATGAAGTTACATCTCAGAGTTGGCTTCCGTTTTAAATTGTAATTACTCAGAGTTGTTTGACGAGTTCATCGATTTTGAAAACGATACCAATCTAGAAGTTCTGTTTAAAGAAAAAAGGGAAGACAGACCATGACTGAAACGTGTTTGTGGCCCCTATAATAAAAAGGTTGAGTGTGGCTGATCTATACGAATTTGGTTGTTGAAACCGTATTATAATTTAACATTATTAATTTTGAGCTTTCACTTCCCAATTTACGTATTTTTTTAGCTGAAAATTTAATGTTTTGTTTATCGTTTTTGTAAATAAATTCACTAATTTAATATTATAAGAAGGAAAAACTTGTTTGTTTGTTTGTTTGTATCGAATAGGCTCCGAAACGACTGAACCGATTTAGATGAAATTTTGATAAGTAGCTAGTTTGAGACCCTGGGAAGGACATAGGATAGTTTTTATCCCGGAAATCATCCCTTAAGGGGGTGAAAGTTCGTATCTGGAAGCAACCTACGGAGGAACCCGAACGAAACGAGGACGAGTCACTAGTTTTATATAAATTATAATTAACTTAATATATTATGTTGAACAGAAAACAACCCCAAGAAGAGCTTAAAACAAGAATAATCTTTAATGAGATTTAGAGAAAATTGAACATTATGATTTGGACTCGACCATCTCTTTATATAAGTATAGTTTGGTGTATTTCTTACGCGACTCACCCTAGATTCGCTTCGGGTTCGTCCCTTCGGGAAAATAAATCTATCCCACGGGAACCGTACATTTTTCCGGGATAAATAACCTATGTGCTACTCCCGACTATAATCTATCTCCGTGTCAAATTTCATCCAGATCCGTTAAGCCGTTCTGGCGTGATTGAGTAACAAACACCCAAACATCCAAACTTTCACATTCATAACATATTTTATGGGATTACTATGAAGAATATGGATGTGGCTTTAAGAGCCATAATTTTTCTGAAACTGAAAATGAAATAAAACTCATATTCCCAATTATATTTATTTATTATAAAATAATGTGGAAAAATCCTCGATTCGTTGATTATTTATTGTACATAATATGTATAAAGCACACGCTCCAATGTAATATCATAAATAAAATTTAAGTATAAAAATAAAACCAGACTTACAAAAATTTACCTGCACTTTAGCTTAACTCAATATCTTATTCCACCTTTACGGATATGATGTATCCCATCAAAAACATAAATGTGAAAATGGGAGCCAAGTTCAATATTAAGAATTAACTTCACCAACAAAAGAATTTTGATCTAAATGGGTGCTAAGTTCTGTAGATAATCCTGAGTTTTTTTTCATAAGAACATACAACATTCTAAAATAAATTAAAAACACAATGTCTTGTTTTTTTCTGCTTCAAAAATGCTTGCTATTTAAAAATAGAACTTTTTAAATTTGTACAGTCGAATTATTTACACAGAGTAGATTAGAGAGAACTTAGGATAAATTGAAGTTGAAGATTTGACTTGGCTAAATTCTTTTGTCGGTGAAGTTGAGAACCACGCATATTTTTAATATTGAACTTGGCTCCCTTTTTCACATTTATGTTTTTGATAGGACATCATGACTTTTTTTAAAGAAACTATTATTATTCATAACTACAAGGTGAAGTGTAAATTAAATCTTTTTTTTTCATAATTTTGCGACTATTCGTTAGTGGCGAATAGGAAAATGTTATTTAATTATCATGGAACCTTTTCTCTTAAGAAAGAAGTTTTTGCTATCACTATGATTGCTATTGCTATTATATTTCAAAAGGCACTAGTTGTTAAGCTATTGCTATTATGTATTGGAAGGCGCAAAGTGTTAATAAAAATTATTTTTTTTTTCAAATTATAAAAATTTACTGTTTCCGGATTTTTCCCTTTGTATGCACGCGATTACCCTTCTGGACACCAAATTGAACTGGTTAGATGACCTATCTGGAAGTGGGTTAGGTTTTACTACTATATGTCAGTCAGTGAGTGATAAAAATGCCGATTTTTAGGCGTTAATATCTCAATAACTATTTGAGCTGTATTTTTGAAATTCTAGGGGATTCTAGTTAATCTAAGGGAATTTAATAAATGAACCAAATTTCATAAGTTTACGTTAAATAGATTTTGAGTTATTACACACGGTGCTGCGTCACCAGTTCCTTTGGCTTGAACTTGGCTGGACATGCTACGGCGTGTCTTGATTTTTATGAAAAAACAAATAGATTTTTGTAGTAAATCGTGTTTGTGTGACCGAGCGGTAAGTCACTATATTTAAAACATGAGCGTCGCGGAAGTGATAGTGAGAGTCAAATTTATTATTCATAATTAAAAAAATATATTATATTTATATTTTTATAATAATTAGTTTTAGCGGTTAGTATAGATTTCTCAGATATGAGCTATTTTCCTGCAGCAAAAAGTATCCTATATGTTGACCCGGATAACCAGCTCATCATACCAAATTTCATCGAAATCTGTCTAGTGGTTTTTTCGTGATGCGGTCAAAAACAGACAGAGAGACAAAAAATCTATAATTTTAATAAAATTTTCCAGAAAAACTTTTTTTCTACATTACAATGGAAACTAAATGTTTGAAGCCACATTTACTAAAATTATTTGAGTAAACTGTTTTTATTGAATAAGTAAAATGGTATTTACTAATTGGTAATAAAGTACATTTTTAACTAAAATCATCAAGATCAATATCACTTGTCATTTTCATTGTTATTAGAAATGACACTCTAAAGAGTGTTATTTGATATTTGTAAAGAAATGGAAAATAAATAATAAAAATACACACAAGAAAAAGAAAACATACACTCAAATCGAGTACACCTCTCTAAAGCTGGTCATAAAACAGACAGATGTAAGTAATTAAAAAAAAAACAAGGGTGTTTTAATACTTTCTTATTACGAGAATATTTGACATTTTAAATAAAACTATCTTTTCGGGGTTTTTCGCCTATTATTTAGATTTTTGGTTTCCGACGTTTCGAATGCTTTACAGCAATCATAGTCACGCTTGTCTGTAACAACCATATAGACATTTGAGACGTCTAAAACCTTAGTCTCTCCCGTGACCATGTACACTGTAAAGCACCCGAAACGAACCAACCAAAAATCAAAATAAATCCGCGAAAAAAACCCCCCCCTAAAAATAGTTTTATTTACAGGATATTCTATTTAAATTCTCGCAATTCTTCCATTTAACTAAATAACCGTAGTATCTTTGCCATGTATCTTCAAATGGACCTTCAAAGCCGAAGCTTTTCTGAAACCTTGTCCGCAATAAGTGCAAATGTAGGGACGCTCCCCGGTGTGGCATCTTATATGGGAGACCAGATCATTGCGTTGGATGAATGCCTTCTCACAGTGGGAGCATTGGTAGGGCTTCTCCCCAGTATGGGTTCTTCGATGGTTCTTCAAAGTTCCCAGGGCAGCGAACCTCATGCTGCAGAGATCACAGGCGTAGGGACGTTCTCCGCTGTGAATGCGTCTGTGCTTCGTTAGGGAACTTGATGTGGTGAAACTATTGCCACACTCGTCACACACGAAGGGATGTGCTCCGCTGTGCTTCCTATTATGAGCCTCCAATTCACCTTTTGATACAAATCTGTGGGAAAATTATCAATAGTTAACCTAAAGGTTGATATAAACTAATGAATTGATATAAATTCAATTTTTGTTCATGTTTGTACGTATTCAGCTATTTTTAACGTCCCACTGCCGGGGGCAGGCCTCCTTTTCAATACGAGGGGGATCAAGCCATAGTCCACCACGCTGGCCAAGTGCGGGCGGGCTGAGCATGTCTTTCGAAAACTTGCTAGGTTCTGTCAGAAATGAAGGTTTCCTTACGATGTTTTCCTTCACCGTAAGACAATGTGGTGATCATGTTAGAAATGATTCGCACATGAGAATAACAGTACTGTGAAACTCGGGTTTCGAACCCGCTTCAGTCTGTTTTTCTAGCGAGCACGTTACCCCTGCACTACCACTGTCTATAATATATATTTATATGTAGGTCGTTTTATTTATTTTATTTATATATCAAGTATATAGGTCGTGGTGTCGTTGATCTTCGTCAATCAATAAGTTATAAGGAGTTTAAGGGATTAGCACGTTAAAAATCATATCTACCGAGTGCCCTTGCCTAGCTCGGATGCGTCCCCAGATACCTAACTGTGCCCAATAGTAAATTTCATCCAAATCTGTTCAGCCATTTTAGTATAAAGTAGTAACAAAAAAACACACAAGCCGCAACTATAAGTCTAATTAAGTACAATTTTCTTTTACTACAATATTAATAAAAAAAATATTAATTTTCATTATTTGGCTAAAGCCCTGACTCAACAGTAGATGTTACCTCTAAACAGCTAACCTATTATATTTCACCTATATGTACAAATAGTCTCTCAATAAAATGGCTGTGACATACAAACAGACAATCATGAAAGAAGTAAAAGCGTTCCACTTCCACTTTTTGACTATGGAATCCCAAAAAATAGAAAACCCTACTGCATAAAACGCTAAGTAATGAGATGAGAACAAGTTGATAAAGAAACATAATAAGATGCAGTAGTAAATTATTTTTAAACATATAAGTTGTGTATAAAATAAAAATAAAATAAATAAAATATCATTGTGTATGTATGTAATCGTGTATTGTGTACAACTTGATAAACCAAACAAATAAATAAATAAATAAATAAATAAATAAATATTTTTATATTTATCTAATATTTATTATATTTTTATAATCGCAATATAAAAAAGTTTATTTTGATACCTAACTTGATTAATTTAAGACACAAATTGGCGTCTGGAATTCGCCATTTCAATGTTTAACTATTTTTTATAACGCCTATGACACTCGCGTTACTAAGAATAATCTAACGATGTATGAATCGTACAAATCGGTTACGCCGTTTAGTGATTACGAGGTAACATAGGGTCGGACATACATACATATAGGTTCAACACATAACGCTCCCTTAGGCTTCACCGCAGTCGAGTAAAAAGAACTATTACCTCCTTTCACAATGTTCACACTTGAACGGCTTCAATCCTTGATGCCTTCTCATATGCTGTGCGAGATTGTTCTTCTGACTGAACCCTTTCCCACAAATAGAACATAAGAAGGGCTTCTCCCCAGTGTGGGTTCTCATGTGTTCGGTCAATGTGGACAACATGGTGAAGGTCTTGTTGCAGACGGTGCACTGGTGTTTCTTCGGCAGCTTGTGACCTTCTACATGGTGGTCTAGACAGTCTTGAGTGGTGAAACTTTTATTACATTTGTTGCATGTAAATCCTGAAAAGTGAAAAATAAGAAATACTACTAATTTTAGTTTTATTATAATTTGATTGTTTTTTTCCCCCGTTTCAAATGGTTTGTGACAAAAGTGGTCATGAGAGTTTTGTTGCAGTAAAACATACAATGTGATATTATGTAATAACTGAAAAATTTGGACTTTAATTTAAAATCAAATCAATCAACATCTGGCACCAATTTCACAAATATCTGATTAAGTATCTATAGTAAATGAAAAATACCAATCAGTTATTTTTTAGTGTAGACATAGTAAGTAGTAGTAAAGTAAGAGAAAGTTTTTAAAAATTCATTCGGTTAAAAATCAATCATCCTCAATTTTTTACAGTTAGAGGTGGATGGTTCTTTTTAAATTTAAATGGAACCAACTTTGATGTAAACGCTATCCAATAATAAAAAAATCGAATTCAGATTACTATGTAAAAAGTTATGTGTGGTCAAACATTAAAAAAAATGTGTATCAAATTGAAAACCTTTCTCCTTGTGATTGACAGCATTACAATATCCAAAAAAAAATAAAAAAAAATTCTATTAAAAAAGTTATCACCTTTATCTTTGGAATGCACTAATACAATATGATTATCCAAATGAGCTTGGTGTTGAAATTCTCTTTTACAGGCTTTACAAGTAAATATCTTCCGAGCTTTGTCCTCATGCTTTTTAAAGTGGGCTATTAAAGAAAATTTGCGAGTAAATTGTCGCATGCACATTGAACATTGATATTTTTGCATATCTTCAGTATCTCCATCGGTTTTGTGTTTGTTTAAATGTTTTTTTAGAGAATGCATGTCGGGACACTCTTCCTTACATTCAGAGCATGTTAAGGCAATTTGTAAAATATCCTTTTTATCCTGATTCTTTTTAATTTTTTTATCTTTAACTTTAACTTTCTTCTTATGTGTATTTAAATGTAGTGTATATATAGATCTATACTCAAATCTTTCTCCACAAACTGGGCAAAAGAATTCATTCTTTTCATCTGTTAATTCTTTTTCAAAATGAGTTAATCCATTTTCTTCAGTCACGTCACATTTATTAACTAAATGCTTACATTCTCTCATGTGTGTCTCTAATTTACACTGATCAGCACAAACAAATTCACAACCACATATTTTTGAAAACGAACTATCTATTTTAGTATTGGGTACATTTTTACTTTCTATAACTATACTTTCTGCTAAATCGTCCATATCATCTTGAAGAAAGTCATCATGCTCTTCCTTTATTGCTCTCAAGCCATCATACCTGTAGTTCATGTCACTCATATTATCAGAATTTATTTCTTCTTCTTTTGATTGATTATTTAAAAAATTAAATAAGCCATGTTCTTGGTTTTCTATAATTGATTTTGATTTCAGCGTGTCGAAGTTAGTTAAAGGTTCATGTTTGGTCAAATCTTGAAAAGTAGTGTGGAATAATTCACTTTTTAATAAGTTTTCTGACTGAAGGCACCTCTTCTTGAACTCATCAGCCTTGCACATTGTTATAAAACAGTCGTTACATACTTGTTTTGGGTATTTATCGCTGATAGTAATATCAGTACTTGTGATAAAAGAAAGAACTTCGAGGAGAGTACGATCGTCCGCGTCCATTTTGCTAAACAACGACTTGTAATCAACCGCCTCATTAAGACACGTCCGGCAAATATTATTATTTTGTAATATTTTATCATCCATAGCGAGTCCGTTTTTATTTTTGTTTATAAAAATATGTATACACTTTGTAAAGATGTCATTTTTGGGGAATTAAAAATTTGACAACTGATATTTGACAATAAGGTTTTAATATACCTAAGTTCAGAAATTATTGTCTTTATTATTACATTTTATTATTTTAACTCTTTACAATTATTATTTATAACAATAATTATGACCTCTATTAATATTGATTATGAGTTCTAATCAAAAACATAAAAAATATCGATTTATTATTCACACGGAAGATAAAAAGTTTTTTCCAGAATGTTGATGCTGATGTAAAATTAGTAAAAGATATAAATTCATGCCAAATATGCAATTTTTTTTTCAAAGGAATATAAGCAAATAATGCGTTAAAATCAAACTTTCGTAATTTTACAAATTATTCAAAAAATTAACCATTAGGTGCGTATTATAGCGCGACTTCTATGTATAATAAAAATAAAAAAGCCGACTGCATAAAAGTTAACTAAAAAGATGAAAACAAGTCGACCAAAGAAATTATATAATCTATAGTCTATACATATAATAAAATCCAGCCAAGTCGAATTTGTACATTAGTTTTTTTTTGGAAAATCTAATTGAAATAGACATTATTATCGATACAGAGTCCGAATCTATAGTTTTTAGAATTTTTGTCTGTCTGTGTATCTGTTACCGCATCACGAGAAAACCATGGACAGATTTTGATAAAATTTGGTATGATGATAGCTGGTTATCCAGGTCAACATATAGGATACTTTTTACCGCGGGAAAATATCACATTTCTGAGAAAAAAATACAAAAACTGCATTGTAAAAGTATACTAATATGTAAAATCTAAGAATTTTGTTTTTGGTCATCTGAATGCGGGCGGAGCCGCGGGCAATGCTAGTTCATTTTATAAATATTCACCTTGCATCCTTTAATGCAAATTAACAGTTAAAATTACTTTTCAAAAATAAAAGCGCCATCTATGAACTTGAGTAGAAAAATTGGTTAATTTAAACAAATTTCATTTATAAGCGCATTATTTCATTTTCCCTCATTTGGAGATATTTTTAAAGTCTACTATACCTAACTTTTTGGGATCTATTTATTATTTTTTTAAGTAATTTTAATCAAACTTCAATAACCTATTCATTTATTTATAATTTTTACTAGTTCCTGATAAGATCCTAACGCTACATTTACGCGCTTCCCAAGTCTCGACAAGCGTCCACGAACACGAGCGTGTGAACGGGGTGTTTGGCTTGCGTGAACTTGTGACGATCCGGGCTAGTGTCTGTCTTTGAACACAGATCAATTACTTTAGCCCACTTGAGCAAATATAGTCAAAATGAAGGCTGTCTGAATTCTTTGTGTGTGCCTAATTCCAATGACCAACACAAATAAACTCACAAACATATTTTTAAAAGTGAACTATTTTATTATTCCATACATACTGTTTTTATATATTCACAGATGATAAACAAATTGATATCTGACTGACATTAGTTCGGAGAACAACCACTGGGAAACCCCAAAACAATAAAAATAAAAATCATCGGAACAGAAAATAAATTCTTTATTTAATATCAATAATATCCAATTTGATCAGATTAACTTAATCGAAAAATAAAAAATACGAATATAATATGTATTAATAATAATCAATAAACATCATGCCGTTTGATAAAACATTTGTATTGAGATCTTATAAATACATCACATTACAAAATTACTTTTTAAAAACACCAGTGTTGCCAACATACATATATATATCATAAACATTATATAATAATAAAATATTGTTATTAATGAAACTGGCAACTATTTGTGAATAAAAACGAAAGGATGTAAGTCTCATATATAATAAAAAAGTTTTCTAAAACGTTACAACTAATCTATGTTATATAGAATACACTGTCAGACTGAGGTAATAACATTTTACTAACACTTTTGTACTGTTTTTATTATTCCACTCTAAATTACTAATTTAATATCATTAATATCATACTGTGTCGAATTTCAATTTTCCGTATATGTCTATATTTTTACGTATTTTTTTTTGTTTATTTTTTCTATGTCTTATAAATGTAATAACTATATATAATAATTATATAACAATGGTTCTCGTTATTGGCACGTCGCTGACTCGAAATTATAGGCTTCATAAAGTAGTTATTAATATAAAAAATAAATAATTAAAAACAATATGGTATTAAAAACTGCATCAAATACGATCTAAAGATACACGTTAAGAATATTTATATCAATAGATATATAAATCAAACGCGTTTTACTAATATTTTCCCTTTTTTTTCTTTAAAAATCACAAAATGGCAGTTTTTAATATTATTTTTTTAATGTGCGTTTTAGATTTATAATGTTTTATAATAACTACTTTATGTTGTCTAAAACAAAAATATTACTAGACTAGTATTTTCACTTATACGATTTTGCCAAAGGACTCGACACTAAATGTCAAAAGTTGACCCCCAAAAAGCGGGAACTCTAGCCTAATATGAAAAAGAAAACATAAAATGCTCAAACGAAGAGCACTAAGTACCTAGAAACATTAAAAAAATAACAATTACGCGAAATTCTATATATTTGGCAGTTTTTGTTGCGTGTTTGTTTGTTTGTTGAAGCTGCCATCGAATATGTAATACTATAAAAATAAATCCGCATACACACGCGGCTAAAAAATAAATTTAAGCACATTATATGTACTAAAAAACTAGAAAGAAGTACAAAATAAGCTATGCGAAATAATAATAATAATAATAAAGATTACAAAAATAACGTTTTTCCTAACTTTAAACATCACATTTCAAAACCCATTTGGTACAATAGAGTGAAAAAAAAATTATAATTTTTTTTTGATGTACCAAAAATGCCTTCAACACTAACTTACAATCCCATCAATAAAGCTGCTATGGAAGCGACGAAACGCCCAATATCTTTAAAACTTAACAATTGGGCGATAAAATAAGTAAAATAGCACGATTAAATCATATAAAATATAAAAACGATGGCACATTGGACTATGGCGGTTACGATGTGCAATCCCAACGTTCAAAACGAAATATAAAAAAAAAAACTTATGTATCTAAAAATCCAATATTATTATTTGACGCTCGTTTCGTTTATCATAACAAAAAACAAGCTGTCATAGATGACAGGTCCGTTTTTTCGCACGAACATTGCATTCCTTTATCTTAGCGTCTCTCTCTAACACAAAGAAAAGAAAGAGAAGTCACACTCATGGTGGTGCTACCTCTCATTTGGCACTCGCCTTCTCCAGAAAGTCCATTTTGAGACGTAGCTCAATTAAAAAAAGTTGTTTTTGGAGGGAAAATATCTCTTCCTTCTGCCTGAGTTCCATATTAAGAATTTTCATTTTCGCTTCGTGCTCCCAAATAGCGTGCTGTCTTTTAGTCGAGTAATATAATCTTTCCTCCTCTGTTGCGGAACCGCAGTCGTGTTTATGGTCATCAGACCGTTCTTGTCTTTCGTGGCCGTTTTTTCTTTTATCATCATCAAGATGGCTTAAGTTTAATGGCGTGTTTGATAATTCGTTTAATTTTTGCAAGAAGTTTTGTTGGATTCTCGCCTGTTCTATGGCTAGGGGGTTGGGTATGATGGGGAGGTGTGAGGTGAGGGTTAGGGGGTTGATTTTTAAGGGTGGTGTGGGGGAGGATTGCGGTATTATTTGTACTTGGGGCTCGAGTACGTTTGGCATCGTGTCGTCACTGTCGTTCGTTGATAGGCGGCCGTTTGACATCTGAGGAAAGTGCATTATCAATATGAAAAAAATGGTATATTTTAAATGGGACAGTGTGTATGTTTGTTTGTTCTTCTTTCACACTGAAACGGCTGGACAGAATACTGTATATAATACTATAACTACGAAAGCTAACAGCTATTAAAAAAATATCTTTGTACATATTCGCAGAGTGCTAAATGATATAAAGATTCATCTAATACGATGTAGTGTAGTAAATAAAATGGGTAGACAGACAAAACTTCTATTCTCGCGCGTAGACAATGCCCTAAATAAATAATAAAACTGTTGTATGCATAGGCCCTAAAGAAAAACAAACAAAAAGAATTGTCCGTGTATGCAATTCACTCACGGTAGAAGTGAAACTTCTTTGGCAAATATCGCAATTAAATTAAAACATATCAATAATTAAACAAGGCATATTACAATCATATATTTATAGAATATCATATACAGAAAGAATATAATATTATATATTTGTCAGACAATAACATCAGTTACCATGGCAATATGGCAATGTATTCTATCTCATTCTCTCGCCGGCTTAATTCTATATATTTATGTGTTTCTCTTTTTCTTGTATCGCATTTCTGATTCATAGAGTTTCAAATCACAACGCTTCTAAAGTTTCACTTCAATAAAAATGCTAATATTGCCACGCCATCTGGTGGCGAAATGGCTAGCACAAAAACCTTTTCCTTGTGCGTATTTGTGGAGTGCGTGTATACACATACACACACACACAAATATATATATATATATGTGTGTGTGTGTGTGTGTGACTCATACATTATCTGAGCATTACAAAAAACAAAAGTAGCTCACATTGACGGGCATGCAGTCCTCGTCCTTGACGCTGTGAGCGCCCTCCGCGCTGGTCGTCGCTTCACCCTCTTCATCTGAAACAAATTTAAATAAATATGTTGGGACATAAACACACAGCGCTATCTAGTTCCATGGTAAGCTACGAGGCTTGTGTTATGGATACCAGATAGTTGATACACTACACATATATAACTTTAAATACATACATATTATAAATATAAACACCCATGACTGGAGAACAAACATTCGTGCTCATCACACAAACTAATGCCCCCAGCGGGACTCCACCCCGCGACCGCTGGCACAGCAAGTAGGGTCACTACAAATTGAGCCTTTATATAACGTGTTACGTCTAATATACAATCTGAACTAACATTATAAAGACGGTAAAGTATGTAAGTTTGTATGTAAGAGGTAATATATGAAAATATCGATCCGATTCTGGAAATTTCTTCACTAACAGGAAGCTACGTTGTATACGAAAGCTGTAGGCTATTTTTAATTCAGATAAAAATGTGCACTATCAAAAATCTTTATAACATCAATTGAAGTTAAGAAAAATGGCGATTGAATTACTTTATCAGCGTGCCAAAAGGACATCTCGAAAGTTATTATAATTCTTTGTTAAAGTCCCACTGCTGGGGGTGGGCCTCCCTTCAACACCCGGGGGATTAGGTCATAGGCACGCTGGCTAAGTGGTTTTGTGAAATTCAGGATGAATTTTGCATATATTTATAAAGTAAAACAGTTTAACTATGTGCGAATCGACGACATCTACTACCTATTCAAGCAAACAAAATAGCCCGAAGAACAGCACGAATTAGCGCTGTCCAATTTCTTTGTATGGGATGAGGCACATGTACTAATATAGTATTATGTGATCTGTGCTCAAACTAAAATAGCTGTACGAAAAAAATGATAGAATAATAATCTATTATATATATAGACTTACCTTTTACATCTAGAGGGTGTATGTTGTGCCACAGCATGCCGTCAAGTAGTCCGGACGCATCAGTCGATGTTTGCTGGAACGAAAACGAGTAAACTTTAAGATATGCTACTAGATTTTTGCTACATCCTTAATATTATATTTAATAAGGTATCATTTTTTAAATTAAAATATATAAAACTAAAAAAAAAGCGACTTCCAAGGAACAATGTTGTAACACAAAATGAGATCGTATTGTAGAAAATTTTTGAGTTACAGAACCCTAAAAAAAAACGCGGTTGACAAACAGAGAAGACGGCACTGAACTGTTGTGCCTTTGGTAATTTATATGTAGAATTATTTATTTCCACATCCTAAGCCACATAAACAGCTCTCACCTGAGTATCGTGAGCGCGCATCTTGCACTTCTTCTTATAGTTCTCGTACCACATCTTGACTTGCGCGGGCGTGCGCGGCCGCTCGCCACCGCAACGCTTGTTCACCTCCTCGCAGATGGTCGACCAGACCAGCTGACACCATGTAATTTTTAAATAATAATAATGTAATCCCGATCGATTTCTTTCCCAGTGGCCAATCTCACAGAGACCAGCCAGCGCAGGAGATATTATATAGTATAGTGCAGACACAATGTACACTCTCTATTCCTGTCACTTTCAAAGTCGGATAGACAGTAGCAGATTCAGTCCTAGGCCCGTGTCCAGGGCGGCAAATTTTTAAGCGCGCGAAAATCTTTAAGACGTCTAAAATATAAAATTGATTGGATTTTCTGTAAACTTCAAGACCAAATTTTAAAGTTCATTTTCTTGCGCTCTTACAATCTAAACATAGTACCATTTCAAGGGTAGAATTTTTTTGTTAAAATAATTAATTATTCTATATATACTGTTACAGAAAATAAAAAGGGCGCCATATCGAATTGAAAGAAAATCTCAGTGATCAAACTTGGCCCGACTCGGGAGTCAGGACTCAAACTGAAAGAACTCAAGAATTTGAGACTCGTGTTGTTCCAGAAAATCGTGACCATGATCGCTGGAAAGCACTCGAAACGTCATGAAAAAAACAAAATGTCGAATATTCGGGTAAATATCTATGAAAATATATATATTTGTTAGAACTAATATTCCATTACTGAAAACCATACATATTTTGTATTCTTTAATAATAATAAATATAATAATAATATTTATTTATTATTATTCTTTAATAAAGGTATTATAAGTACCATCAACAAGTTAATAGTTAGTAGTTTTATTTATTTATTTAGTATTTTGTGTCTTAGATTTATATATTTTTTTTTGTATTTGATAAATAAATAAATAAATAAATAAATAAATAAATAAATAAATAAATAATTAAATAGTACATAATTATTTGAATAAATGGTGATTTTATAAATTTGATCAACTTCAAAAAACAGTACCTAATGCATTCATTTCCGATTATTTTTTGTTATGTTACGTGATATCTTCACCGGGTACTAATTATCACGATTGTTTTATAAATTTCAAAGCAAAATTCTATCCCAAAGATGGAATAATCAGGGTGGCAATGGGATCCTATTACTAAGCCTTAGCTGTCCGTCCGTCTAACCCTATTGCCGCTATAACAAAAAAAAATTACAAAAAAAAACAAAATGGCGTATTTGAAAATGAAATGGCGACCAAATTAAAAACAAAAACCTTTAGTACAGTGTTGTACGAAACCTTTCGTGAGCGAGGCGGACTCGCACTTGACTGGTTTTTAAATTATTTTTGAGCTGTAAAGACAATTTTGAAGTGGGCGCACCTCTAAGTTAAAAAGAAATTCTTGCTCACGTTCGTACGCTACGGTCAACACATACTTACATGTGAGGTGACAGAGGTTAACTACCGTCGATTTATTTAGTTAACATCCAGCATTACCGTCACAGTTTTTATTGACGCACATAGAACTTTACTACTGTAGATAAATATTGCGATATACTTATATCAGATACATCTAATTGGAATAGCCAATTGTCTTAAGCGGGCCAATTTTTTTGGCAGAAAAGCCAAATATCTATCACTCAGTATCAGCTTGATTCCCCATAAAAACTTTCATACCCATTTTCAGCCCCTTAAGGGATGATTTTCGGGATAAAAAGTATCCTATGTTCTTCTCAGGGTCTCAAACTATCTTCTTAGCAAATTTCATTTAAATCGGTTCAGAGATTAGACTCCTACAACGTCACAAACTCACAAACTCTCAAACTTTACGTCTTTATAATATTAGTATAGATTTGTATTAGTGTAGATCTGTCTAAAGGCGAAGCGATGACACAATTTCTGAAGCCTACTAAGCACTACCGTCTTTATTTAGGGTTCCGTACCCGAAAAGTGCCGATGGAACCCTATTACTAAACCTCCAGTGTCCGTCCGTTCGTCTGTCAGAGGGCTGTATCTCATGAACCGTAATAGGTAGAGAGTTGAAATTCTCACATAGTGTGTATTTCTGTTGCAGCTACAGCAACAAATAATAAAAATACATCGAAGTTAATAATACTATAGACATAGAGTAAAAGTAATATTAATAAAATATAATAAAAGTTAAAAAAAACGACTCGCACTTGACCGACTTTTAAACCCTAGGCATTTTACGCATACCACCTGCAAATAAATATGCTAGTTTACATTTGAATTTACTGCCGATTAGACAATATGATATTTTTAAACAATCTTGTGTCCCAAATTAAATAAACATAAAAGTTGTATAGATTTTCGTAATTTTTATTTACAAAGGAGGAGTATACGGACGGACATACATACATATATACATACGCGTCAAACACATAACATTCTTTTGGCTTTACAGTTATAGTCGGGTAAAAATATATCTTGTCTGTCTATGTATATGATACGTTTTAGACAATACCATCTGAAGATATTGCAGTTTAAAATTGTATTTTATTTCATCGAGTAGTAAAACTTGAATACGTTATAACAATCATTTAATGTTATGGCCGTTTTCATGTAAAGGTTAGCGCACACTACACTCGAGTAATAAATATAAATAAATATATTGGTACATTAACACACAGCACCATCTAGTTCCATGGTGAGATACGAGGCTTGTGATATGGATACCAGACAGTTAGGGGTCACCTAAACGTTGAAAGGCCCCCTATATTTAGGTGCTCGAAATATGGGCTTAAAGACGATGGTAAAACAAAATTTAATTTAGGGTCTAGTTTAGGGGAACTTCTTAGCTAGGGCTCCCATACGTAGGTGGTAGCTTATGGGATTTTGGAAAAATCTGGCAAAAAGGAATGTATGAAGCAAGAGTAAAGTACTAGGTTAACTGCCTAATCCCTCAACGACCGCGGGCATACAGGTGTTAACAATTATTTTTTTAGTAATTCATTTAATTTCTTAGAATTCTACCTGGAGGAGTTAACTACAACCTTCGAGGCAAACAGGTGGTTCGGGGCTAGCATCAACAATTACAAAGGCCACTCAGCGAAAGGTTTGAAATAAATAAATAGTGTGCCCAAAGCCTTACAATATAGAGTTCCACGAGGCAAATTACTTAGTAAACGAAACATTATATCCTATTACAACTATCAGCGTTTCGCTTGTTTTAACGGTATGATGTAATGTAATAGATAGATCAAACTATTCTATTGGACGTCTCGGTTGGTGAAATAAACTTTTTTACCGACTTTGAAAGTGGAGATTCTCTCATCTATACTCATAGAGGCAGAGTTTGTTTGTTTGTTTATTTGTTAGGTTGAACGCGCTAATCACAGGAACTACTAAACCGATTTGAAAAATCCTTCCTCCATTAGATAGCCCGTTTAATGCGGCGAAAGCATAGTACCCAAGGAAACGGAGCAGTAATATAACATATAGTCTATCTATTCCATACTAACCGTTAAAACGTAGCTACCTAGGGACGAAACCGAGCGAAGCGAAGCGAGACTGAGCCGCTAGTTATTGATGAAGGCCAATTGGCAGGTTAGGACTTAGGTTTAAAGAAGAGATTCGTCTTAAATATATCAGGACATTAACACACAACACCATCTAGTTCCATTGTAAGCTACGAGGTTTGTGTTATGAATACCAGATAGATGATATATTATACATATATAACTTTAAATACATACATATTATAAATATAAACATCCATGACTGGAGTACAAACATTCGTGCTCATCACACAAATGAATGCCTCCAGCGGGACTCGAACCCGCGACCGCCAGCGCAGCATGTAGGGTCATTACAAACTGAGCCAAATGTGTCGTCTTAATGCGTTTTTTAGGGCTCTTTAGCTATGAAGGTAAACAATAAACAAAATTTAAAAAATTATATGTGCTTTTTATAAAACAGGTAAAGCTCACGAGGAGCTTTTACATCATATAAATTATAATATAATAAATTGTTGAATTTGATTTAATTTAAAGTTTATTTTCTTTTTGTAAAAGTATTTAAATAAAAACATATTTTAAAAAATTACTTTTTAATAAAATATTGTAAGGTAGATACTTGGTACAATTTTTCATTTTGTTAATTGTGGGTAGGCTGTCTGTAACAACTATACCTTCGAGACATGTAACACCTCAGTCTCTCCCGTGACCATGGATGCTGTAAAGCATTCGAAACGTCGGGAACCAAAAGTCAAAATAAATCCGCGAAATAATCCGAAAAGATAGTTTTATTTAAAAATAGAAAATTACGCAAATTTATTTTTAAATGACTATGACAAGCGTTATCTAGGTTTAGTATTTGGATCTAGATAGGTCATCAATATAAGAGCGAGCTTTATATTTTGAAGAGCGGCACTAAATTTTGGATCTAATTATTGATGTTTTATTAACCCGCGACGCAAAGAGGGGTGTTTTAAGTTTGACGTCGATGTCTGTCTGTGTGTGTGTGTCTGCCTGTGGCATCGTAGCTTTCAAACGGATGGACCGATTTCGTTGCGGTTTTTTTCATTTGCACGCCAGTTTTCTTGCGGTGGTTCTTAGCTATGTTTGGTTAGTATCGGTCCAGCAGTGTAAGAGTATCAGCTCTTTTCCAAAATGATGTAAGGCATTTTGGCGTATGATTACTCGATTAAGTGCTTCACGCGTGCCAGTGTAATCGTTAAAAGACAATTAATTAGCGTAGCGGGGTTTTTAACTTTTTTATTTATAATATTGTACTAGTTCGTATCGCGTTTTGTTCATGTGGTAGGTACGTCGGTAGGTAGTCAAACCACTGGACAGATTTTGATGAAATTTGGTATGATAGCTGGTTATCCGGGTCAACATATAGGATACTTTTTACTGCGGGAAAGTATCTCATGTCTGAGAAATCTGTAATAACCTTTAAAACGTTCCTAGGGACTAACCCGAGCGGAGCGAGAGTGAATCGTTAGTGTTAAATAAAAACGAAAATATTTTTTCTGTATTATAGAAATAACTATTTACTCGTCATTTTAGTGTAAGAGCTGGCGAGAGAAAAGGGTAGGTAATTTAGGTTTTAAATGATAACCTGACATGACATAGGTAACGGGAAGACAACGTTTATCAGATATACCTACGGACAGCCGGGGCTCTGGGCCGCTGTGCTATTTATATTGGTTGCTGAAAGACCACGTGACGATAGTAGATTAAAAAAATACAGTTGTAGCCCTAATTACGTCAATTTTTTTATAAAAAAATGCATTTTAACTTTGTAAATTGATCGTTATACGCATTTTATTATAACTACACCTGCGTTCAACAAAAAGCTGATACAAATATCTAATTCGAATGTTTATCTATGCTTAATTTTTCGCCAGCTTCCCAACTATTTCGAGTAGAACCGCGGACGAAGGTTTAGTGTTATTAATTTACATTGATAAGATATCACCTATTTAAGGTCAATGAAGGACGAGTTGAGTGCATTAAGGGTCTGAGTAGAGCCATAGTGAGATATTTATAAATAAAACAATCATAAAAATAATAATAACAATGTCCTCCCTAACTTTTTAACGTCCCACTGCTGGGCAAAAGCATCATACGAGAGGGATGAAGCCATAGCCCACCACGCTGGCCAAGTACGGGTAGGCGGACTTCACATGCCTTTTGAAAACTTGCTAGGTCTCTCAAACATGAATTGGTTCTCTCAAATATGATTTGAACACGCTTCACTTCTTTTCCCAAGCAAGCGTGTTACCTCTGGGCTACCATAGCTTTAATTATATAATTAGACAAAACTGTGGCAATGAGTATAGTTAAATACCAAATATTATTAATCTGTAGTACGTAACAGATGAAACGATAGAACACAACTGAGCTATCACCGATAAGGCGATTATTCAATAAAAACAAGGTCGTGTACGATAAATTGTCGCGATTGTCTTTATATACTATTCTTTATTGCACTTATGTATATTATGTAAAATATATAGAGTAACAAGCAACAAAATTAGTTAGCAAAGGTGGACTTACACTCTAGAAGAGATCTCTTCCAGTCAACCAAAGTGAGTTAGAGAGATAGTATTAAAAATGGTATATGTAATATGTAATTTATTGGTAAAACAAAACATATTATGAGCTCAACTTAGAACAAAGATATATCTAATATGTATGGTAGTACAGTGTTATAACAAAAGCATTTTTGGAAGAATTGCGGCAAAATCCGAAAAGATTGTTTTAATTATATCATCGAATTAAAGACGACACGTTTGGCTCAGTTTGTAGTGACCCTACTTGCTGTGTCAGCGGTCGCTGATTCGAGCCCCCGCTGGTGGCATTCATTTGTGTAATGAGCACGATTGTTTGTACTCCAGTCATGGGTGTTTATATTTATAATATGTATAGATTTAAAGTTATACATACATGTGTAGTGTATCAACTATCTGGTATCCATAACACAAGCCTCGTAGTTTACCATGGAACTGGATGATGCTGTGTGTTAATGTACCAACATATTTATTTATTTACTAGCTAGGGGGTCAACATATACTTTTTATCGAGGGAAAATGTCTCATTTACGAGTAAAAAAACCAAAAACTGCAAGGTAAGAGTATACTAATACATATGTTAAACCTAAGAATTTAATTTTTGGTCATCTGAACGCGGGCGGTGCCGCGGGCAATGCTAGTTCTTAAAAAAAATGTCCGGTAAAAAGGCATATACTGATGCACCCTAGCGAATAGCCAACTCGATAGTTGACCGAGCGAGCAATCAGCAAGTCAAATCTGGCAAAATTTGCTTTCCTCTATCAGTTTCTTGGTACTCCTCAACAGGTCGTACTTTACAACCGATCTGGACGAAACTTTGTATACAGGTTCTACGTCTTTATAGATTTTTTGTTGTCGGGGATTTTAGGTTACTGGATATCTCCGCATTTTAAGATTCGATTTCGATGATTCTTTTTTTAATTGAAAGGTAGTAACTATAAGTTGGTCTCATAAAAAATTGGTGAAGATCTGATGATGATCTTCGGCGTGATGAGCAGAATGGCTCCTAAAAATGCAGTTTGTGCTCGCGAAGTCTACTGTTCGAAGAACTTTTAGTATTATAATATAGTTTCACCTGTTTACTGCGATTAGTAGCGTTGTTGGATCGTCCCTGTCGCAACACGTCGCGGTGGCGCGCAATCAGCTCGAGTACGGTGCGCTTCTCCAGCTCGGTGAAATTCTTCGAGCGCTCCTTGTGGCCGCGACGCGCACGGATCGCGGACGCGGTAATGCGCGTCGACATATCACTCTGGAAATTCGACATTGTTGTTATAAATATCAATTTTTACTTTTACAGAGTTGAAAATGTTTTGATTATCTAGAATTAATCTATACTAATATTATAAAGAGGCAGTTTCTTTGTTTGTTTGAACGCAATAATCTCAGGAACTACTTAAATCAAAAATTTTGAAAAAATCTTTGTGCATCAGCTAGTCCGTTTATTGAGGAAGGCTATAGACTATATATCATCCCGGAAAACGTATGGTTCCCGTGGGATAGAATTGTTTTCGGGACGAACCCGAAGCGAAGAAAAGTTGAGTAGCTAGTTATGTATGATTACTCGTCTTACGGTGAAAGAGAAAAGGACAGGAAAATCATAAGAAAACCTACATACATGTTTACAAGAAACGTGTGAAGTCTAAAAACCCGCACTTAGCCAGTATTGAAGGGAGGCCGGTTACCAGCTGTGGGACTTTAAAGAGTGCGAAATATAATACAGAGGGTTATGATTTCAGCAAGCTGGTTAGGTTCTCTCAGACACGCTGGTTTTTGGATGTTTAAAAGGTGGAAGAATACATATAAAAGATTCTGACATGGAAATGTCAGAGTTGCGATTTGAACCCGCTGTATCGGATATTCATGTAAGCGTGTTACTAATAGGCTACGACTACTGTTTGTTCTTTGAAGCTAATTTGTTTTCAAATATATAATTGTCGACACGTTTAGCACATTTTGTAGTGACCCTACTTTCTGTGCCAGCGGTCACGAGTTCGAATCCCACTGGACACACAAATGTTTGTCCAGTCATAGGTGTTTATATTTATAATATGTATGTATTTAAAGTTATATATGTGTAGTGTATCAACTATATGGTATCCATAACACAAGCCTCGTAGCTGACCATGGAACTAGATGGTGTTAATGCACTAACATATTTATTTATATTGAATAATCATTCATATGGTACAAACTAAACTATTCAATCATGAAAATCGGTTTAAAGTCAATTATTCGCTCCACTTGTCGCTCTTTGTAGTTTACACCCCATAGCAGTCTTAGCAGGTCATCTGCTTTAAAGAGTACCTTTGTTTATTTTATTCTTCACTAATATAAATAAATAAAATTGTATTGTCGAAATAACAGATAGACTCGACTGTTTGAGACTTCGGTTTTAGACGTCTCAAAGGCGTTTACTTGTTACAGACAGTGCCTGCCCACAATTTTACAAGACATTTTAAGACGTCTAAAACTTTAGCCTCTCCCGTGACCATGGTTGCTGTAAAGCATTCGAAACCGCGTCGGCAACCAAAAATCAAAATAAATCCGCGAAATAATGCGTAAAGATAGTTTTATTTAAAATGTTAAATAATCGCGTAAACGTAAGAAAGTATTAAGACTCAAATAACACAGTTAAAAACTTAAAATCGACCTCAAGATTTGTTTACATAGTTAACTAGCATTGTCCGCGGCTCCGCCCGCGTTCAGAGACCAAAAATCAAATTCTTAGGTTTTACATATCAGTTTACTCTTACATTGCAGTTTTTGTATCTTTTCTCAGAAATGAGATATTTTTCCGCGGTAAAAACTATCCTATATGTTGACCCGGATAACCAGCTATCATCATACTAAATTTCATCAAAATCCGTCCAGTGGTTTTTCCGTGATACGGTAACAGACAGACAGACAGACAGACAGACAGACAGACAGACAGACAAAAATTCTAAAAACTATAGATTCGGACTACGGAACTATAGATTAGATTTTCCAAAAAATATTTAATGTACAGATTCGGCTCAGTTACAATTTTATTATATGTAAAGATATAAAAAGCGAGTTAAAACATTTTTTAAACTTACAAAATCAGCAAACACCAAACACTGTCTAAACATGTCACCACTCACCACCTCTGTGTGCGCGAGTTATATCGCGAGATTAATTCAAACTGATTATAATTAATAATTAAACTATACATAAAAATGGCTGCTATTGCCTAATTAGACATTCATAGGCGTAGCGGCTTTTGGGAGAGGCAAAAAATTAGATCAGTGATAAACAACTGGTGGTTTGAAACGTCTCAATTTGCGACTACACGTTTGGCTCAGTTTGTAGTGACCCTATTTGCTGTGCGGTCGCGGGTTCGAGTCCCGCTGGAGGCATTCATTTGTGGGATAAGCACGAATGTTTGTACTATAGTCATGGGTGTTCATATTTATAATTTGTATGTATTAAAAATTATATATTATGTGTACTGTATCTTCTACCTGGTATCCATAACACAAGCCCCGTAGCTTAGCATGGAACTAGATGGTGCCGTGTGTTAATGTACCAATATTTTTATTTATTTACTAGTCTGTCTATGACCGGAACATGGAAAAACCACTGGAGGGATTATGATGAAATTCGGTATGAAGATAGCTAGTTATCCGGGTCAACATATAGGATACCTTTTACTGCGAGAAAATATCTAACCTCTGAGAAATCTATACGAAACGTTAAAACATAAGTCGAGGCGAACCTGAGCGGAGCGAGAGTGAGTCGCTAGTTTTGCATAAATGTGGCGGAATTTCTTTGACGCGGTGTTGTTGTTTGAGGGTGGATGAGGGCTTGTTAACAAAGATTGTAAATTCAAATAATCTAATACAAAGAAATCCAAATGTGTTAAATCATAAAATCTAGGGGGCCAATTCTGATCACCGAAACGAGCACACGACCAGAGAATGTCTCATACACACTCCCTTTGCATTTGACGAAGTAAAAAACAATATGTTTACCGTATTTTGTAAGAAACTGTGAAAATCTTTTGTAGAATGCTACAATTTTACTAAATCTATGCTCTCAGCTATCAAACTGCTTTTTTTTGGTTACCAACACTTACCGCGCAAATGGCGACAAATTCAAATCTTGCCTGAATATATATATATATATATATATATATATATATATATATATATATATATATATATATATATATATATATATATTATGTAACGGACTACCTAATGCAAAGAATTTTTCAAATCAGATTAGTAGTTCCTGAGATTAGCGCATCCAAACAAACAAACAAACTCGTGCCTCTATATAATATTAGTATAGATATCATTTTATTCATAACTCTGCGGATACACCACATCCACTTCATACTGCGTTTTCCTACACCTTAAAGTTGCCTGGATGAAATCGCTGTTTTAGCGATAACAAGGCCGACTCTTGTACACTTTCCTATCATTGTATTTTTTTATTTTCTTTTTGTCTGTGCAATTAAAAATTATATGGAAATGAAACTTCTTTAGAATCGTTGCGATTTAAAACTCGATGAAACAAAAATGCGACACTAAAAAGAGACAAACACATAAATATATAGGATTAAGCCGGCGAGAGAGTGAGATAGAATACATTGCCATGGTAACCGTTGTTATTATCAGACAAATATGTAATATTATATTTTTTCCGTATATGATATTCTATAAATATATGATTGTAATATGCCTTATTTAATTATTGATATTATGTTTTAATTTAATTGCGATATTCGCCAAAGAAGTTTTACTTCAACCGCGCGTAAAGGTTACACGCACCCATTTCTCTTATTATTATCATTTATAATAAACTAGCATTGCCCGCGGCTCCGACCGCGTTCAGATGACCAAAAAGCAAATTCTTAGGTTTTACATATTAGTATACTCTCACGTTGCAGTTTTTGTATTTTTTCTCAGAAATGAGATATTTTCCAGCGGTAAAAAGTATCTATATGTTGACCCGGGTAACCAGCTGTCATCATACCAAATTTCATCTAAATCCCTCCAGTAGTTTTTCCGTGATGCGGTAACAGACAGGCAGACAAAAATTCTAAAAATATAGATTCAGCCTCTGTATCGATAATAATGTCTATTTGAATAAGATTTTCCAAAAAATATTTAATGTACAGATTTGGCTTAGTTACAATTTTATTATATGTATAGATGAATTGTACACGTTACCCTATTTACTTTCAAATGGAATGTTAAATGTCGTCAAATGTTCTTCTAAGAAATATTAAACCAAAACTTCCGTTAAAACGGTTAGTGACATTAATTTACTGGCTTGATGAGAAGATAAAGCGTATGTAGTTCGCACGACAAGTAAAAAAATTTGCATTAATATGTAATTAGGCAATGCTTAACAACTGGCTAGCCGCGGGTTCAAATCCCGCACGAGGCACATTCCTAATTACATCGTCGCATTATAGACTGCGCCTCCGTCTGTCTTTCTATTCAGTCCGCAATTAAAGAGCTTAGTATGTAGTTTATAATTTACTAGATCAATTCTTACTAATCGGACTATTATTAATGCGAAAGCTTGTATGCGCATGTTACTTTTTTATGGTGCTCAGTGATAGACGAGCTGAGAGTCCAACTGATGGAAAGCGGTACGTCTTAAGGCTTAGCGAGCGTTAGCCATATTTTGTAAGGACGATTCGACAGAGCCAGTTATTATGCTTTCCAGTGGAAATGAAAGATTTTCCTGTAATAAAAGGTATCCTAAATGTTGACCTGGGACAAACAGACAGACATACAGACAAACAGAAAAAAATCAATAACTATTGTTTTGGCGTTTACACTCTGCACAATACGTCACAGTCATTGTTTTAAAAAAAAATTACATACAGATTTCGCTTTGCTACTATTTTATTATAATATGTATAGATTGCCCGCGGCTTCGCCCGCGTGTAGATGAGCAAAAACCAAATTCTTAGGTTTTACATATTAGTATACTCTTACATTGCAGTTTTTGTATTTTTTCTCAGAAATGAGACATTTTACCGCGGGAAAAAGTATCCTATATGTTGACCCTGATAACCAGCTATCACCATACCAAATTTCATCAGATAACAGACAGACAGTCAAACACAAATTCTAAAAACTATAGCTTCGGGCCTGTGTATCGATAAAAATGTTTATTTCAATAAGATTTTCTAAAAAAATATCTAATGTACAGATTCCTTAGTTACAATTTTATTATATGTATGTATAGATATCAAATTAAAAAAAA